TGGTGGAAAATTTCGAATATCTTGGGTCAATGAAAGAAATTAAACGGCGACTATCAATTGCTCTTCAAAGACTAAAACAACTGAATAAATTATGGAATTGTACAGATAGAATTACAAAGGTCAGATTTTTAAGAGCATGCATCTTTCCCATTGCAACATACGCCTGTGAGACCTGGACACTTACTAAACAAGCGGAACAGCGCATAAATGCATTTGAATATAAATGTTACAGACAGGTTCTAAGAATATCTTGGGTAAAGAAAAGAACAAATGCATCCATACTTCAAGAGCTGAATATTGAAGAGGGTTGGCTAGTAAAGACAATAAAACAAAGAAAATTTAAATATTTTGGTCACTTGAAACGTCATGGAAGTCTAGAGAGAACAATAATGGAGGGGTATATGCCTGGGAAGAGAGGAAGAGGAAGGCCAAGGAGAAGATGGGTGCAGGATGTGGCAGATGATCTCCAGATGGGTGTATCAGACGCAGGACATCTTGCTCAGGATAGGAAGGTTTTCCGGAGGGTTGTTATGGCAGCGAGGGACATGCTACTGAATGAATGAATGAATCCCCATCTCTACCTCAAACTGACCTTTTACAAATCTCAGTGTGAACAATCTAAGATCTGTACTAGATGAGACTAAGGATACTTCAACTACACACTGCATCAACATTAAAAAGTAAAAACTGTACACATAAAAAATAGTTAAACTGTACACACACAAAAATAGTAAACTGTACACACACAAAAATAGTTAAAATGTACACAACATAGTTAATGAGTAAAAGCCTCTAACCCAAAAATTAAGCCTTGAAAACAGTGCACAATTATAAAATAAGTAAACCCAACAACCAGTGTATACAATGTTTACACCCAACACATTATACACAATTATAAAATAAGAAAAATTAACAGCAAATGTGTACAATCGTTAAGCTTATGATTACACCAAGCAAAGTGTACATAATAATAAAATAAATAACACGAACAACCCATGTGTACAATCTTTACACCAAGCAAACTGTGCACAATTATACAATAAATAAAATTGCTGTTTACAATCATTACAATAATCATTACACCAAGCAATCTGTGCAGTTTTTAAAATGGTACATCTCATGTTTTTGGGCCCAGAAAAAGAGCGACTTCCCTTCCCATTCATAAATCGCCGAGTCGCACACTTGTGCTATGTTGTGGGGGTGTCATGCTTAGTGACCGGCCAACAACATGTGGCATTTTACTAGTTTTTGCCACCAGTCCCAAAACATGCAGAACTGGCTCTAACCCTGACCCCTCTATGTCACACAAGATACTGTAGCCCAACTCCCCCGACTGCATGCAGCCTAGGTCGCACAACTGTATGTAGCGTAGGGTGACAACACTGCAACATAGGACAAGCAGTGCGACTTATGAATGGGAAGGGAAGTCACTCTCATTCTGGGCCCAAAAATGTGAGTTGCAATTTTTAAAAATTAGAAAAAAAAAACTAACAACAAATATGTACAAGAATTACAACAAGCATTATACCAATTATTACATCGAGAGAACTGTGCAGTTACTTCTTCTTCTTCAGCATTCTGAGCCTTTGAGGTTCATTGCTGCAGATATCATCCACCTCCATTCAACTCTATGGTTGGCCATTCTCTTTCCAGTTGGTGACACCAAGTGTTTCCAGGTCTGTCTGGACATTATCTCTCCATCTTCTTCTTGGTGTTCCTCGTGGTCTACGACCATTCATCTCCCTTGCGTATACAGTTTTTACTTCTCTGTCATCTGATATTTTTTCAGTAGGCCCCAACCATTTCACTCTATTAGCTCCCATTATGCCAGTGATCAGTGGCGATGTAAACAGATTATGAATTTTGTTATTGCTTCTCACTCTCCATTCACCGCTGTTTGCATCTTTGATGGGTCCAAAGATTTGTCATAAGACTGTTTTCGAAAAACTGTAATAAGGCTTCATCTCTTTTAGTTTCAGAGCCATATAAAACGACTGGTCTTATCAACGTTTTATATATTTTGATCTTGGCGTTGCGAGACACTTTGACTTTAGAAGATGTTGAAGGGCATAGTATACTTTATTTCCATTTGTATTCTAGATTCTATTTCTTCTCTCGGCATGTTGGAGCATTTGAAGTTTGCGCCCAAATACTTTCATATCGTTTGATTTTCATATTATCGACTTGTATGTGGCCAGAGTTTATATCCTTTCTCTGTCTAGTTATTATCATGTATTCTGTCTTATCTTGATTGATAACTAGTCCCATTTTCAGAGCTGATTCTTTTAAGAGAGTCAGTGTTTTAACAGTCTCTAGTTCATTTTCTCCAACGATATCAATGTCATCAGCATATCCAAGCATTCTTGTAGATTCTCCTATAGAACACTCTTGTTTCAATTTCCTTATAACTTTCTCCAGGGATCAAGTGCACAGTCACACAATAAATAAAACTAACAACCTATGTGCAACATTCTGTCCTCCTCCTAGTGCTGCTGTTATACATCACATAAGGTCCTCTAGTCCTCTATTCCATTCTCTCTAGGCCATTCCTTCTGATACATCAAGGATAGAATCCAGTCCTTCCTGTGTGGGTTTTGGGGCTCCATTGAGGGTGGAACAAAAGAATAAACCCACTGACCTAAACAAGCATGTCGTAAGAGTCGACTAATTAGGGATGTTTCCTTCAAAGCTGGAGTGCATCTGCCTGAGAGGTAAAGAAACAACAGTCTGTATACAAATACACCAGATCTGTAAAATGGAGGTGCACACACAAATCAGGTTCTGGAACAAGACTAAAGTCCAGAAGTGGACCAACAACCAGAACTTCCCGCCGGAGTTTACCACCAATGAATGTGAAGATCAAGAAGAAGAATCTAGTGTGGCATCTTTGGCCTCTTTCAGCAACGTTCGTTTTAGGGTTTCCCTTGGACATCCTCATTTTGTCAATACATCTGTTTCCCATTTCAGTTGGTGACTATCTGTTTGCTTCACCTCATCATATGCCCAACAAACTGCCATCTTCTTCAGCTTATAACTGTTAATATAAGCACTTATGCAGACATTTTTCTGATTCCTTCACTTATCTTGAATTCCTCCGACTTAATGTTCATTCTGAACATATTTTTAACATTTACTCTATATCCTGGGTGATTTTAAAATGTCACCTTCTTTTGAAGTCGGAAGTGCATCTGCCTGAGAGGCAAGCAACCAATAGTCTACGTACAAATGAGTCAGATCTGTGAAACAGATGTGCATGCAACACTCAGGTTCTGGAATAGGACTTGTGGACGACCAATCAGCATTTTCCTCCGGAGATTATAGTTAGTGCAAATGAAGGAGATGAATATTTCACTGAGCAAATTGTGCAGTTATAAAAAATAAATAAAACCAACAACCCGTGTGTAAATTTATTAAACCAAGTTGCCCACGTTAAAAACAAAAATACACCAAATATGAGATGAATCCACTGACACACCAAGTTAACCTGTCCACGTTAAAAACAAAAATACACCAAATATGAGATGAATCCACTGATACAAACAGTCTTTTAAAGCAAGAAAGTGAGTTTATGTACCTTTCGTTGAGCCTGGTATTTTCGGTCCAAATCAGAGGACTACAAGAAATATTAGTTTCATGTTTATGTTTGTAAACACAGTAAATGACAAACACACAGGAAGTGACTAAACTTCCACATTAACTGACGTTCAACCCACCAGGACATCACACAGAGCGATAAAAACCCAGTAACATAAAGTGCCATCATTCAGATAAGGATCACCCGGGGACAGGTCTCAGAAAAACCACGTTCAACCCACAGGCTGAGTTATATTAGGGCCTCCAGCAACAGCCAGGGTGGGGCTTTAAAACAACAAAATATTGTGTCCGATATTGGGACACAGTATTAGTGAACTTCACATTAAGCGATACACTTTGTAAAAATCTTTAAAACTGACCTTTTCAAATTCTGGGTTATAAAAAAAGTGCATTGTTATAATTCTCTGTAATTTCTAAGAAAATATAGCAAGAGAAAAAAAAAAGCAGACAAAATCTGGAATCTTTGTCATATTTTATAACAAGCAGGGGGTTGGAACCTACAATCATTGAGCAGACAGGCAAGCCTGTTTGCAACTGCATCATCATGCCACCAAGTCACTAAAAAGATGGATTTTTCATTATTTCGCAAACACTTTTTTTTCTCTTTAACATGAAGGTGAATAACCACTAAATACAAACAAAGCAATTAAATAACGGCTTTCCTTCCATTCAACCAAGAATACAGGGGTTTCGCTGACATGACCAGAGAGATCAAAGTGACTTCAATTTTCATTACAAGTTTAGTATGATGTCACAATGCCCCCCTCCCCCCCCACCAAAGGAAAAAAAACTAGTTAATAACCTCAGATAATATCTAACACCTTAAAAAAAAAACACACACACACAAATATAATTTTACCTATACACAATGACATGTTGAATGCTGAATTAAGAATTAACATCACAGCACTAGGGACACCCCCAGAAGCACTCCATACCCATCTTCAGCAGCAAATGAAGAGTTCTAATTCCGATGGCACCAGTAACTGTCCGATTGTATATCCGTCTCGCCTTTCCTCCAAGTGTTGAGCGCCGGTCAGATCCCCTTGTAACTCCTCACAATGCTATTCTCCCTAGACCGTATTGATCTATCTGTGCCTCTGCACTGTTCAATCGCTCCCAAAGAGCCCTCACAACATCCAGCCTGTCATACATCAGTTCACCACCATACATATAAAGAAATCAAAATGTGTTGTCCTTGTTTACAACATTGCCAGAGTTCAAAAGGCGATGGCCAGAGTTCAAAAGGCGATGGCCAGAGTTCAAAAGGCGATGGCCAGAGTTCAAAAGGTGGTACACAATGGACGAGTGATAGCTAATTTTTTTTTAACAAAAAGACAGGGTTTCCCTCAAAGATATCTACCAAAAAAAAAAATGACATAAGAAAATCTCAAGCTGGGACTCACCTCTGAGTTGCGCCCTCCATAAGAACTGTGTGACCGTTCAGAACCCACGCTGGAAGTTTCACTGGCTGCATCATCAGAATCATACTGTTCATGACGCTTACGCTGTGCACTTCTGCCCTAAAAAGGAAATCAACAGCAAGACACTGTCACAGAAAATAACACAGTGAGTGTGCTTGCATCTGTGTGTTACCAGTGCTCCGCTGGAAGCAAACAATAGTAAGACTGCACCCTACCAGGCATGTCGCAAGAGGCGACTAAGGGTAGGGTTAAGATTGGGGGTGGCCACCTCACCCCATAAGAACAATAGCCACAGACACATACAAAACCTACCACGGAAGAGTCTAAAAGGACGACCTGATATAAGTTGTCTGAAGGCTACACTCCACTGCGGTATAAATGGCAGAAGAAGGGACAAGTATGCTTCAATCAACAGTGTCTGTGTGTGGTATAAATGGCAGAAGAAAGGACAAGTATGCTTCAATCAACAGTGTCTGTGTGTGGTATAAATGGCAGAAGAAAGGACAAGTATGCTTCAATCAACAGTGTCTGTGTGCGGTATAAATGGCAGAAGAAGGGACAAGTATGCTTCAATCAACAGTGTCTGTGTGCGGTATAAATGGCAGAAGAAAGGACAAGTATGCTTCAATCAACAGTGTCTGTGTGTGGTATAAATGGCAGAAGAAAGGACAAGTATGCTTCAATCAACAGTGTCTGTGTGTGGTATAAATGGCAGAAGAAAGGACAAGTATGCTTCAATCAACAGTGTCTGTGTGTGGTATAAATGGCAGAAGAAAGGACAAGTATGCTTCAATTAACAGTGTCTGTGTGTGGTATAAATGGCAGAAGAAAGGACAAGTATGCTTCAATCAACAGTGTCTGTGTGTGGTATAAATGGCAGAAGAAAGGACAAGTATGCTTCAATCAACAGTGTCTGTGTGCGGTATAAATGGCAGAAGAAAGGACAAGTATGCTTCAATCAACAGTGTCTGTGTGTGGTATAAATGGCAGAAGAAAGGACAAGTATGCTTCAATCAACAGTGTCTGTGTGTGGTATAAATGGGAGAAGAAGGGACAAGTATGCTTCAATCGACAGTGTCTGTAAACATTCACACAGGTAGAGGGAAAAGGGGTGAAAAAAGTAAATTAAAATATACAACAATAATAATATAGAAAGCTGGCAATGATAAATGAACAAAGAAAGAGAAAAAAAATGAAGGAACATGGTAGGAAGAAGTTAGAAGATTAGCTGGTGGGGAAGAAGAAATGCAGGTTGTTAAAAATAGATGAATAATGAAGACAGAACAGAAGTTATGATTAAGATAATGAATTTTGCCAGTTAGAAAGATGAAAGAAAGGAAGGTATCTAAGAATGAAAAAGAAAAGGGGAAGAAAAAAGAAAGCAAAGGAAGAATGAAAAATAAAAGGAGGCCCCGATGAAAGGAGGAATAAACAAATAAGAAAGCCATAATGAAGATGAGAATGAAGAGTAAATCATAGAAAAAGAAAGAATGCACACAGAAAAGAAGTTAAAAGAAGAAAAACTGGAATGGCAATGAAGAATAAAAGAAGTTAAATAAAGGGTTATAAACAAAACAGGAGGTTGAAGCAAGCAACAGGATAAAGATTGGATGAGACAAAGAATGAAAGAAACCTAAGTTATAATGTAAAATTAAATGTAAAAGTTATAACAGACAAATTAAGACAAAAAGATGGGAAAAAAATAGAAGACAGCATGCTAGACATAAAGAAATTAAGAATGAAGAAAGAAAGTTTTCTACATAAAATCTTCCACAGTAAGAAGAAATCTCACCAAAGCATCGTTCAAAGCAGCCTCTGCATCAGATCCATTTCTCAAAAGCTTTCCTGACATCACTGGAGCTAAAATCAAGTAAACAAAACAACCCTTAGACACAAACAAACATGGCATGTCAGGGACTTCATTACATGAATTTGTATGTAGTTTTATGTCAATAAATTAATTCACCAATAAATACATTTGAGCTCAGCCAGGAAATGACATCACAGAAAATCAGGATAATCCCAGTGCGCTCTATCCACATCTTCAGCAGCCAGCAAAGAGCTTGAATTTAAATGGTACCAGTAGCAGTTTGATTATGTTTTGTCTGTACTTCTTAACTCTGAGTGTAGAGTGTTGACCATATCCCCTTGTCATTCTCTGCTGCACTATTCTCTCCACACTGCAAGGATGTATTTGTCATTCTCTGCTGCACTATTCTCTCCACACTGCACTGTCCACATCAAGCCTGCCATACCACAAGTTACCACCCACTGTTGCAGAACCAGTCAATCTGCTCTCTTCATTTAATAATATTTAATGTTGGAAGCAAAGGAAGAATGAAGAAAAAAGAAAGGGATAATGAAAGGAAGAATGAATTAACGACCAAACAAAAAACAGAAAGTGAGAATTAAACAATCTAGCGCTGAGTCGGTATGTTGCAGCCGCCTACCTACCCCCCATCTGCAATTTAAGGAGAAAAAAAATATTACATGGAGCGGGACAAGAAAGCAACAAGAAGAAACATACTGAGTAATTGTAAACTAGGAGATGGGGAGGGGGGGGGGGGGGGGGAGCAAGACAAAAATTATGAAGACAGAAAAAACATGGATAAGGAAAAGTTAAAATTAACAGAGTAATCAGGTGGAGAAGATGAAGAGAAGACACAAAGAAACAAATTTGGAAAGGAAGCAGATAAAAAGTACAAAAGGAAACGGAATATATGAGAAATATAAATAGCAGCTCATCAGCTAAAGCAGAATAATATGATAGGTATAATCATGTTTACTATTTCAGGAGAATCGACAACAGTGATTCACTTACTTTTCCTACCACTGGGTATTCTACTGCTGCCTCCACTCAACCTCCTCTCTCCTTGACCTGGAGGAGAAGAAAGGAAAAATGAACGATCAAACATGATAGTGAAAGAAGTTAGAGAAACGATAATATAAAGAGTTAACTTTGGTCCCTAATATGTCAGAATTGTGAAACTGTGTTCACAATCATTAAGCTATACACTTTCCTTTTTTAGGCGAAAACTACAGGCTTATTTAGTGAGCAGCAACTGATATTTAAATGAAATAGTAAGCTTGCAATTTTTAAACCACAACAGATCTTTATAGCAGACTAGACATTACAGAACCAAACCCAGCATTTTTTTTTTTTTTTTTAACTAGGCAATATTACATTTCTGAAGTCAGATCTTGATATCATTGTCAAAATCAGTCAGCTGCCAAATCGACCACAGCTGGAATTCAACCAGTAACCGTAGCATTATTAAGCATGTTTGTAAAGCCTTAGCCACAAAGCAAATAACAGTATTCCAAGAGAATGATAAACTGCCAACACTGTGATCTGTAATGAACTAATCATTCAGTGGTTTGGTGTTAATCCTCTAGAACAATTAGATAAGACACACAGACCCCTTTTATTTTCGAAGGTCATATATATATACATTTATATATATATATATATATATTTTTTAAAGTATACCTATATTAGAATCGACCAAAAAAAGGGTGGTGGTGGTGGGGGGGGGGTGGTGGTGGGGGGGGGGGGGGGGGTGGTTGAGGGAAGTTTTTCCTTTTCTAAAGGATAGCAAGGAAACTCTTAAATTTGTTCCATGGACCCTGCCACCAACCATGCCTGATGTAGTAACAAAATCAGAATGGTCCTTTACACACACACATACCCCCCCCCCCCCCCATGCATTGGCTTCAAGTCATCTTCAAGTTCTTCTTTACTTTCACCGGCTATAAACTCTGGCAGAAAGTTCAGGGTGTTCATCCAGAATCTGAATGTTTCATGCACATCCATTCCACAGAACTGGCTTATTTGTATGCAGACTCTTAGTTCCTTGCCTCATGCAGATGAACTCCCACTTCGATGGAAGCCCCCAGTTAGTCAACTTCTACGACATGCTTGTTCAGGAGGTAGTGGGACTATTCTTGTGTCTCCCACAATGGGGCCCCGGAACCCACAGGGAATCTTAGAAGTGAAAATGGCTTGCTTTTATTGATATCAGGTTAGTGAAGAGGTTTTTCCACTGATCCAGGATGAAATACAGTTTCTCTTTCCTTCTTTTTTAAAGATGTCCCAACAAGACTAAGCAACAACAAAAAAATTAATCAACAGACATTCAGAACATATTTGCAAAGACATACTTCTAAAACTTCTGGCCGGACTGGGCTCTCGACTGGCCCCTTGGCTCTGGGATGAAGGTATCCTGGACTTCCTGGGGCCCAGCCCCGAGTCCACACGAGAGGGTGTGTGTTTTATGTAAACAGGCAGACGTCGACCAGAGGATGGTGAATTTGATCGACTGTTTGCTGTAGATTGTAAGGAAGATAGAAATCATTCACATCGTAGAAGTAAAATGTAAGTTTTCTAAGCATGACTATATTTTCCACTGTTCTGCTTTTGCCAAAGAGCTACTTTTATTTCTCAAATATTCCTCTTCACCTCCTATTTAGCACTAACCTCTTTTTTCCCCAGGTTTGTCTTCTCTTCACCTTCTCAACTTCCTTTGTTAATTTGTACTTTTCTCATCAATTTTTTCTCTCTCATTATTTGTCATCTTTTCCCCATCACCTCTTTGTTTTGCCAGTTTACTGCTAAAAAATCATACATACATGTATAATTAGAAATCTTGTTTAGGATTCACTGCTGTCCATATTACCGGTCTCCATTCATACGTGCGACTGGCTTTCTCTTACAAGTGCGTGCATTTCTGCCTGTATTGTATCTTCCAACCAGCTTCTTGGTCTGCCTTTTGGTTTACTTCAGACTGGCTTTATCTGACAAGTGCGTGCAGTTTTGCCTATATTGTATCTTCCAAACACCTTCTTGGTCTGCCTTGTGATTTACTTCAGACTGGCTTTCTCTTACAAGTGTGTGCAGTTCTGCCTGTATTGTATCTTCCAACCACTTTCTTGGTCTGCCTTTTGATTTACTTCAGACTGGCTTTCTCTTACAAGTGTGTGCAGTTCTGCCTGTATTGTATCTTCCAACCACCTTCTTGTTCTGCCTTTTGATTTATTTCAGACTGGCTTTCTCTTACAAGTGTGGGCAGTTCTGCCTGTATTGTATCTTCCCACCACCTTCTTGGTCTGCCTTGTGGTATACTTCAGACTGGCTTTCTCTTACAAGTGTGTGCAGTTCTGTTTTTATTGTATCTTCCCACCACCTTCTTGGTCTGCCTTGTGGTTTACTTCAGACTGGCTTTCTCTTACAAGTGTGGGCAGTTCTGCTTGTATTGTATCTTCCCACCACCTTCTTGGTCTGCCTTGTGGGTTACTTCAGACTGGCTTTCTCTTACAAGTGTGGGCAGTTCTGCCTGTATTGTATCTTCCCACCACCTTCTTGGTCTGCCTTGTGATTTACTTCCATTCAACTCACTGAAGTCTAATTACCAACCTAGAATTTATTTTACGTATGGCTATAGGTAAAGTATTTCTTTTTATGCCTGAAACATTTTGTGTATATGGTGCTAGCTCTATATTTTTTTACAGACAAATCATCACTTGATGAGTGATGCGGCCAATATCCAACTGACAGCCTTTGCTTTCACAGAACATTTCCTGGTACCCATTTCTCGAATAGGTCAACCTGAGTGCCTTAATCAATTGAAATTTAAAAAACAAAATTTTCCTTGATGAGGATCTGAACTTATAATCACAAGGCTGACAGGCAAGAGTGTTAGTTGCTGCATTACTTCAGATCTTGGCTATATGATTGGGTATATGATAACAGTGTTGCCTTTTGAAAAAATTCTTCATCAATGTTTACAATTCCATTGTTAACTTGAAGTCACCGTGCATTTCAATCATTTGTCAAATTATCAAAACAGAAAATGTAATGTATGTGTCGTGTATCATGTAAAGTGAAAGCATCTATTAGATAACCACTGCTGTATTTGCTGTACTAAATCAATAATGCCTTTAAACTCCTTAGAATTCCTGAACCCCCATAAAGAGCAACCCAGATGTTCTAAAAATGGTTACGGTTGAAAGGCAACTTATCACAACCATCAGAAAGAGACAGTCAACATTTATTGGTCATGTTATGAAAAGAAGAAAACTGAACAGTTGTGATCACTGGAGAGATCTGTGGGTGGGCGGGTGGGTGGATGGGGGAGGGGGGGGGGGGCGTAGAGGAAGCCAATGTGAGAAGACTGTTCACAGCCTTTTGTCATGGCAAGATAGATGCTGTTGACGACGGTAGATTGTGGAGTGGCATAGTCACGCAACCCAGTCACCCAGATGATGACAACAATGGATGATGATCCATCAGATTATTAATGTCATCTTACCAATATAAGTCGAATGTATGTATTCAATTAATAATATCAATTCAATATATGTTGTATACTACGTATAATGAGTTTCCAGTGTGTCATCTTACCAATATAAGTCTAATGTATGTATCCAATTAATAATGTGGATTCAATATATCTTGTATACTACATATAATGAGTTTCCAGTGTGTCATCTTACCAATATAAGTCAAATGTATGTATCCAATTAATAATGTGGATTAAATATATCTTGTATACTACATATAATGAGTTTCCAGTGTGTCATCTTACCAATATAAGTCAAATGTATGTATCCAATTAATAATGTGGATTCAATTTATCTTGTATACTACAATTGAGTTTCCAGTGGTGAGATGTGCAGTGTAACTAGAGACATTGTGATCTGTATATTTTAGTGGAAGGGATTCATTTTCTGTGCTTCATGTTGATGTAGCTCTGTAGCAATGCCCCTGATGAGATACTGCAAAACATGCAAGGCACTAAACTGTGCACTGCATCATTTGCGTGCACATTATTTAAACTCTAAATGTTTCTAGTTCTTCTTCTTAAAGTCCACGCTGTGTGGTGTTGGTAGTCACCTCTATCCACAAACTTCTGTCTCGTGTATTTACCAGGGGAGGCTTAACACTCAAGGGAAAGGTGAGAGGGATAGAAAATCAGACAGTTACTGGCATCATCAGAATTGGAACTCTCAGCTTGCTGCTGAAGATGAGGAAAGAGCACTTATGGAGTGCCCTAAGTGCTGCGATGTTGATTCTGAATTCTACATTCAACACTGTTTATGTATTTTTCAATTACCAAAATATATTTCATGTGTTCATTCACCATCGAATTTTCCAGCTAATGTTGACATATGTGTCCAATGTAACTTTATTTGTCCAATTACTAACAAGACAGAGTGTTAAAATATCGATATATGTATGGCAGGCCCAGTTTTTAATATAAACTGGACATTTACATTATTTTAATGTTGATATTACAAGACAATAAAAAAAAAACCACTGTCACAGCAGTGTTTCCAAGTGGAAGGCAAGCAAAGCCACATTCAAATGACAATAAGCACATCAAATATAAAAGCAATAGCAGCAGCTTTCACTGACCAAGCACAATCAACAAAATAAATAATAAAACACACAAACACGATGGGATATATAGTGATCACTGAGCAGGCTGAGAACAGGTAAATAGGATTTTTTGATTAGCTAAGATCAGAACAGGTCAGAATATTGATAAAAAACAGGGCACTAGAACAGAAAATAACTACATCTGAAATGCAGTCTCTGTAAGGTCACTAACAACAAAAGGAAGGACAGGGTTACAAACACCAGCATTAAACAGAAGAAAGCTAGAAAAAAGACCATGTCCGGATTATACTGACAGGCAAAGACTAAAATGGTTCAGCCATCTAGTGATAATGCAGCCAGACTAAACTGCTTATGAGACTTTTTACAGCAGAACATCTGGGAGGAAGGCGAGAGGAAGACCAACAAATCCATCACTCAAGCCACTCATGAAGTGCAAGACAACTACAGAAAACCATGACACTGGGCTACAACCTGGTATCAGCGAGACAACAAAAGAAGAAAAATAGGTCACAACTGCAATTGATGACTGGTTGAGAGAATTAGATTAGCCCAATGTGGAATTCATTCACTGGTTAAATGGATCAAAACAGGTCTGAATTGCAAATCATCACTGGTTGAGAGAATAAGATTAGACCAGTGTGGAATTAATTCACTGGTTAAATGGATCAAAATAGGTCAGAATTGCAAATCATCACTGGTTGAGAGAATTAGATTAGACCAATGTGGAATTAATTCACTGGTTAAATGGATCAAAATAGGTCAGAATTGCAAATCATCACTGGTTGAGAGAATTAGATTAGACCAGTGTGGAATTAATTCGCTGGTTAAATGGATCAAAATAGGTCAGAATTGCAAATCATCACTGGTTGAGAGAATAAGATTAGACCAGTGTGGAATTAATTCACTGGTTAAATGGATCAAAATAGGTCTGAATTGCAAATCATCACTGGTTGAGAGAATTAGATTAGACCAGTGTGGAATTAATTCGCTGGTTAAATGGATCAAAATAGGTCAGAATTGCAAATCATCACTGGTTGAGAGAATTAGATTAGACCAATTTGGAATTAATTCACTGGTTAAATGGATCAAAATAGGTCAGAATTGCAAATCATCACTGGTTGAGAGAATTAGATTAGACCAGTTTGGAATTAATTCGCTGGTTAAATGGATCAAAATAGGTCAGAATTGCAAATCATCACTGGTTGAGAGAATTAGATTAGACCAATGTGGAATTAATTCACTGGTTAAATGGATCAAAATAGGTCAGAATTGCAAATCATCACTGGTTGAGAGAATTAGATTAGACCAATGTGGAATTAATTCACTGGTTAACTAGGTATAATAGGTCAATATGGTTAATGCTGACTGGCTGAGAGAATTAGAACAGACTAGTAAGGAATTCACATTGGTTATGAACTATGAACTTATTTTAACTACAGTGAAAAGGTGGGAAATGCATTGGTACGGACATGTAATAAGATCTAACGGCTTCTAAAAAAATATGTTAGGGCTTAGGAGAGGAAAAGAGGACAAGAGGCAGACCAAGAAAGACCTAAATACAGAACTTGACTGACTGGACAGCCCTTAGGCATGCAACTATGAAATCCATTGCATCTGATCATCAAAGACGGAGGGCACTGATTAGAGAGTCGACAGCAACTGGTGACCCAATGATACGCAGTGTTACGGGATAATGATGATAAAAAGTAAGGAATTCAATTAAGTGGCTCAGAATAGATCAATTTGGCGTATATTATTGGCTCAGTGAACTCACTATATCAACATGATTATTATATACTGAGTGTCTTAGTTGTTTAGACTAGGTCAATTTATCATTGTTAGTTGTTAAGAATAGGTCAATATAAGACTGTCTTAGCTGTTGAGAATATATCATTTGATCAATGTCTTGGTTATTTAGAATAGGTCACTATCATTGTCTTAGTTGTTTAGAAGAGGTTAATTTACCACTGTCTTAGTTGCTTAGGTCAATTTATCACTGTCTTGGTTGCTTAGGTCAATTTATCACTGTCTTGGTTGCTTAGGTCAATTTATCACTGTCTTGGTTCCTTAGGTGAATTTATCAGTCTTGGTTGCTTAGGTCAATTTATCACTGTCTTGGTTGCTTAGGAAATTTATCACTGTCTTGGTTGCTTAGGTCAATTTATCACTGTCTTGGTTGCTTAGGTCAATTTATCACTGTCTTGGTTGCTTAGGTCAATTTATCACTGTCTTGGTTGCTTAGAACAGGTCAATTTACCATACAATAATAAGCTGTGGGTCAGAAAAGATTAATATAGTATATATTGACCTCTGTGTGAGAATATGTCAGTACATTTACTGACTGCAAGTGGGTAAGAACATGCCAGGCCTTGTGTTTGACACTGATCTGCCAACTTTATAAGAAATGTTAACTGCATATACTTACTGAGTAGGTTAGAAAAGGCTAAAACATCATGATGATGTAGCCAAGTGGGTTAGAATATATCAGTATGACACGCATAGCCAAGTGGGTTAGATTATATCGGTATGATAGACATATCAGTATGATAGACATAGCCAAGTGGGTTAGAATATATCAGTATGATAAACATAACTAAGTGGGTTAGAATATATCAGTACAATACATGTAGCCAACTGGGTTACAATATATCAGTATGATAGAAATAGCCAAGCAGGTTAGAAAATAACAGTATGATAGAAATAGCCAAGTGGGTTAGAATATATCAGTATGATAAAAATAGCCAAGTGGGTTAGAATATATCAGTATGATAGAAATAGCCAAGTGGGTTAGAATATATCAGTATGATAGAAATAGCTAAGTGGGTTAGAATATATCAGTATGATAGAAATAGCCAAATGGGTTAGAATATATCAGTATGATAGAAATAGCCAAGTGGGTTAGAATATTTCAGTATGATAGAAATAGCCAAGTGGGTTAGAATATATCAGTATGATAGACATAGTCAAGTGGGTTAGAATATATCAGTATGATAGAAATAGCCAAGTGGGTTAGAATATATCAGTATGATAGAAATAGCCAAGTGGGTTAAAATATATCAGTACAATACACGTAGACAACTGGGTTAGAATATATCAGCATGATAGACACAGCCAAGTGGGTTAGAATATATCAGTATGATAGACACAGCCAAGTGGGTTAGAATATATCAGTAAGATACACCTTGTCAAGTGGGTTAGAATATATCAGTATGATAGACACAGCCAAGTGGGTTAGAATATATCAGTAAGATACACCTAGTCAAGTGGGTTAGAATATATCAGTATGATAGACACAGCCACGTGGGTTAGAATATATCAGTAAGATACACCTAGTCAAGTGGGTTAGAATATATCAGTAAGATACACCTAGTCAAGTGGGTTAGAATATATCAGTAAGATATACCTAGTCAAGTGGGTTAGAATATATCAGTGAGATATACCTAGTCAAGTGGGTTAGAATATATCAGTAAGATACACCTAGTCAAGTGGGTTAGAATATATCAGTATGATAGACACAGCCAAGTGGGTTAGAAAAATATCAGTATGAAACACCTAGTCAAATGGGTTCCAGCTACTATGCTTACCCAGTGTGTTAGAAAAGGTCAATAACAGAAGCTAGTAAACACATGCCTTTGATCACACAATGCATGAGCTAGATCTTAGAACTACAAGAGTCTGAAGCCGAGCAGCTCTGGGCCAGGGTTGCATGTGAATCAAAGGACTCATCAATTTACTTACGCTGAGAGTAGGACATGCCTATCCTAGACTGTCTGGTCTGACCTCTGTCTGGGGTCAGGAAATCATTTGCCGAGCTAACAGAAGAGGTGCTAGATTTTTGCTGCCGCACTGTGAAACCAAAACTAGCCAAAATGAAATATCCAAACACATAAACAACAATAAATAAAAATAACACTGAAAAAGCAAAGCATCAAGAACAACCTCTAAACTTCTCGCCAAATAAATGTCTGTTTTGTGGCTTATTTGAGTTTTTTTAATAGCATCAAGTCTTTATGTAGTGCTGTCTATGCCTGTAAAACAGCTATGGTCCTGGTTGCAACTGCACAGTATTTAAATTGCGGGTATAATTATAATACAAATGAGAGTAATTTTGTGTGCTAAAATAATAGTTTTGTTTTTCTTTGTGATGTAATGACATCATTTTGCTCTAACTATCTCAACAAAACAATTTTTCAGTGGTCAAAGGGAGTGAATAGGTTCTTTACTCTATATTTTAGTAATTACTTCCACTCACAATAAAGCTGATCTTTTTAGTCTGTGGTTTCACACAGCAATTATTTTTAGTGACTTGGGGCCTCAATGATGTAATGGCTAGCAGGATTGCCTGCTTGGTTGTCATAGGATTCAACCACTGGATATTTATAGAAACTGAAAGATGTCGATCTCTTCTACACATATACTATAAACATTCTTGTGGGTAAGTTTTCTTAGCAACATTACACATTATTTTAAAGTATGTAACATACAGCAACATAATATCATATATATGTAACCTATGTGGGTTCAGGGGTCCCATTTTAGGGGATGGAAGGGGGGGGGGGGGGGACAAGGATAGACCTTAAATCCAGCCCGCCAGCACCCCCCCCCCCCAAGCTGTACACCACAACACAATGTGCCAAATGACCTTTAAAGAGTGAACACAGAATATCATTTACATCAACCTATAACATTATTAAACAATGTGCCATGCAACAACTTGCAGCACATAAAAGCATATATTAACACTACACAATATATAGTACAACATGTAGCAATATTACACAATGTTTCTTGGCAAGGATTTTTTTTTTTAAACTTGCAAAACAAGGGAACAAAAAAATAACTGAAGAAGTAACGGCAGCCAGCGTGGTCCTGACTAAACCAACCACTGCATGCCAATTGGTCAAAAAATTATGAGGCCAGGATTATTATCCCATAGGCCTCCAAGACATGACATGGGATTTTTTTTTTTCTATTTAACTTTTACAACATAAAAAATCTGGTCAAAATGGTGTGTATTCTCCATCTAGGATTTTACCTGAAGGTCAGAAAATAGGGGACATAATGAGCCGATTTCAGTTCCCATCCAATAGGAACAAATCTCAGATGCCTTGTTCAACTGTATAAAATGATTATATTAGTACCTCCCTGCGATTACAAAATAGCCCGCTGTCCCGTGTGGGTGCAGGATAGTAGAAAGGTCAAACAATAGTGTTAAATTTACAATAATCATGGAGTTGGGGGGGGGGGGGGGGGTATATGCAGATAAACAGAAGCAGGGAAAGAAACTAATATAAAAATAGAGGGAGAGGGACAGAAAGAATGGGAAATAGTTCAAGAGAGAAAGAAGAATCAATAAACAAAACTGAACTGTAGAAGAACAAATGGAGACAAATTGTATTATATCATAACATTTAACAAGTAATTTGTGGATAAATGAAAGGTATAATAAGTGTTAATTCAGCCCACACTAACGCAGGACAAGTAACAGGTGCACAAATCAACAGGTAAACAGTTAGTATGTCATGCAAATCATATTCCACTCAAGAAAAGTCAGATCTGAACAAAGAAGTATGCAAACTACGGTGAGAAGTCAAACATTAGTATATCAAAACAAGTGGGGAAAGTTATGTATTTTGCTACAGAAAAAGTATTTATAGATAACTAAGAAATACAAGATTAGTGTGTGATAACTAACATATTAAGTTCACTGGATGTGTTATTAACTATATGCCTGAACACAAAAACTTCCTGACAGCTCATAATGTCTTTTTCCTCTACCTTTCGAACCCCCAATGGAGCATAGATTCTTAACCAACTCCTGCCAAGTCATTCAATCTTTTGCTATCGCATGCAGCTCTCCCCATCTTTTTAACTTCAATCTCCAGCTCCCTTCTCCATGTGTTCTTTTGTCTTCCTTAATTTCTATATTTCTATACCCCTGTTGGTTCCAGTGCAAAGACATTCTAGTTATATTGTTCTCAGGTTTTCTCAACCTGAGAGTTCAAGCAGCCACAACAATATTTGAAAAAAATACAATATTAGAAAAAAAAAGAGGATCTAGACCAATTTATGTCCTTAAATATGCTAGAAAAACAAAACCAGCACCCAATGAGGGATTAAGGACTAGACCTACAAGAAGCCACACACAGAGCTTAATGACAGGTCCGCGTGGAAAACTTGTCTATAAACCTTAGACAACTGATGAGGCGTCGCAAGTCGACCAAGCCTAAAATGGGTACCAGGATGGCTGTCCTGGGGAAGTAATGCTGACCGCATTACCCACCAAGTGATGATGGTCTGTAAAAATATGGGCGCTCTTCCCATATACTCGATATGCCTGAAGGCGTAAAAAGGGATCTTTACTCTACTTAGACAACTGAGGATCAGAATGACTTGAAAGTGACAAGGTTAAAAGAAAAAAAATTACATTATACTTAGACAGTGAATGTTTGAAACCTATTTCAGGACAAATGTTATCAGGGGAAGTAGATGATGTTCTCTAAACACTGGATGAGATACAGCCTTCTAGCACAAGGATGACAAATGGAATAATTGTGTGCATGTCACACAAGTTAAAGGTGTCTTTGTAGTTTAAAACGTGTATAAAGTAGGCCTTGTAGAACAACATTGTGCTGGTAAAACTCCAATGCTTAAAATCTACTCACTAAAGAGTATTTAAATAATGTGTACATTCTATTTAACATATTCCAAGATCCTGGCACTAGAACTGTCACAGTCCTTTCAGTAAGTTAACAGTAAAATGTAGGGAAAACTCAGCCTGAGATGTCTGAAGGTCTATATTCTAAGAGGCGCTATATGGAAGAAGACAGGTTCAGAACCCAGCTTCTTGCTTCCTTAGAATTGTCCTTGTGTTTATCTCGAGGTGCGGCTGATCCTCTACCTGAATTTGTTAAGGTGCAGTCGATAAGTAAAGCTATAGTTAAATTTTGAGTGAAATTTTAAGGTGGAAAATTTGGTCTGTATAATGGTAACTGTTGGCCTGATCAAATAAGTACTTATTTATAGGTAATGTGTTCTTTTGGTGCTATTTATGTGTGTGTGTATGCATGCGTGCATGAGTGTATGATCATGCAATTTTTCATTCCAGATTTGAAGATATTGCTAGTGAGAATATATAGGTGCGTAAAGGCTAAATGAATGAGGAATGAAAGGCTAATTTGGTTGCATTCGTTCATGTCATGGCATTAAAGACAACTGAACAGTAAATTTGCACTTTTTTCGTACGTATTCAACCCACTTTAAGGGTAGGTGTGCCGCAAACTTTTTTAAAGCCCGACAAGGGTGCCGCGGCGAAAAAAGTTTGGGAACCCCTGCCCTAAGATATTGGTGTGGACCTTCTGGGATTGAAAGATATCAATTCTGAAACTGTGGACATGATACCAATGCCTCTTTAAGCCCTGCCTGTGACACTGGACATCAAGCTTATGGCACACAAAAAGAAAAAAACAGAAAGTGCCTTTTCCAATGGATTCAGAAGCTGCGGTTTGCTCACCTGTCCCACCTGTGCTGCTGGTTGACTCCAGCCTTGTGTGATCGCCGCTGTGGTTGCTAGAATAGTTGCCTACGCTGCTGGTAGAAGAGATTCTTCTCTGGCGAGAGGCGCTGTTGTAAACATCTGTAGAATATCATTAATGTCCCGTCTAAAACTACCTGCAAATTGTTGTGCTCGAAACCACTTCAAGTATTGTCAAAGGGTATTACTTTAGCTCAGTGATTCCCACTATTTTGACAAGCGAGTCCCTTTAAGAATCAATTTCTACAGCACCAATTTCTACAGCAGAGCTCCTTAGACTTACTATAACTTATGTCTTACAGGTTAATGGTGTTTACAAGCCAGGAAGCAGAGGAAGAGTGGTTTCCCCTTGCAACATGCAGTAATATTGGAGCTAGTGGCAGCAGATTGTTCTTTTTACTTCTTAATATATAATTCAATTAGATTTCTATTTTATTTTCCTGCAGCGGCCGTGGAAACTCTGGGAAGTGCACATGCAGCTCTTAAGGCTCCACAGAGAACTGGCTGGAAACGGCTGCTTTGAATTTCTGATATGTGGACTAATCAATAAATACATGCTGGCTTGTTTGGTATTGAATGAATCACTTCCGGTCACTGTGCTTGCAAGAATCGGGCTAAACATGTAAGGGCATGGGCAAACCCTCATGAAATATTATAAAGAATGGAAGAATCAAACAAAGCAATGCAGTGTAATTTAAGTGTAAAGGCTAGCTAGCCATGCCATGTTAACATTCATATCAAGTTAGATTAAGTCAATAGATACAACTGTTAATGGGTCTTAGTGTAAGGAGGAGGATATTATTAACAGCCCAGTTCATAACTGACTGAAGAACTATTTAGGAATTAATATATCACACATAATTGTGTTTATAAAAATGTACCATACATATATTGCTTCGAAAGTTAGTTTTTCAATTAATTATGAACTGCCCCCCCCCCCCCCCAAAGGCAATTACTGTGCCCGTATTTACTACATTTGCGGTGTAGGCCGGAGGAGTGAGTTTAGTCCTTGAAATTCAGGGCAGTATGGTTAGTGTCACTGCCACAGACTGTGCAGAAACAAGTTTGAAATTTAACCACAACATTAAAAAAAAAAAAAAAAAAAAAAGAAATTATAAATCACTTTACAGAAAATTCAAATCTGGGCCCCTCGTATGATGTTAGTGATCTTAATTGTTCTGCCAGGCGTTCCTCTAAAGCAACTGTCACAAATGTCTCCCATGTTCGGCTGCAGCCATAGTAGCTTTAAGACAATCCCTCTGTAACAATTTCTTTTTGTTCCAAATTATAAATCTATTTTTTTTAAGCCCTTGCTTTTATTTATAAACTGGTTATAAATATATAGGTGTTGGCAATTAACCATGCATACAATATAAATCTACAGCAAGCTAGTGAGTTTTATTCTAAATTGCAAATACAATTTTGATGAGATTTGCATAAACTGCTAATACAAATGATCTACACTGGGAAGCTTTCAAAATCATAAATGCTATTTTTCAAGAAATCTTTAAAATTATTTTCGGCTCTCCTGTCAACTTAGGCCATTAGCTAGACTGCAGCCGATCGCTTAGTGGGAGTTCTCTACCTTGGCTGGATTGCAAACACGGAGCGGAAAAGTCACGAATCAAATTACATACAACCGGGAAGGCTAACCCGGTCAACAAATGCCCGCAGAAGTTAGATGTGTTGGCCGAAAGGTGCAAATATTGCAGCCATGCTGTAAACGGACACAACGCAATTACATCTTCGGTTGAACGCAGAAGAAGAAGAAGAAATTACATACTTACCTATCATCATACAGTTGCGTGTACGGTTGCGTTGTCATCATACGGTTACGGTTACCTATCATCATACGGTTGCGTAGTCATCATACAGTCATCATAGGGTTTGGGTTAGGGATAGGGTTAGCGGCGTTAGGGGCTGGGTTAGGGTTTGGGTTACGGTTAGGGTTAGGGATAGGGATAGGGATAGGGTTAAGGTTAGGATTAGGGTTAGGGTTAGGGTTAGGATTAGGGTTAGGGATAGGGTTAGGGGTAGGGTTAGATGTGACAATTTTGACGTAGGAGGTCCAAATACTGTCCGGCAATCTGATGCTTGTGGGAGTGGTGCCACTGGAATTCTCCCAACTAAAACGGCAATAGCGCGCGGCTGGTGCCCACACGGTGGCGAATTGTCCGTTTGAGAAGCATCCACAGTCCTTCGATTGTTTGGGTGTGTATGTGACTGTGCGCGATTATTCGGAATTCCTGCGTCAAAATTGTCACATCTAACCCTAACCCTAGCCCTAACCCTAACATTTATCGGTCAGTGAGTCATACAGATCTGCAGGAGTCACATCCATGGCAACTAATACCACGTTTATATAAGGATATATTTACTTTAACAAAACCCCAGATTTCCCCGAAGCGTCAAATAAACACCCAGATCTGGGAGAAACACCCAAGCCTTGGCAGCCCTGTTGTCGACCTCACTGTCTTTTTTTATTCGTGACTTTTCCGCTCCGTGTTTGCAATGCAGCCAAGGGAGAGAACTCCCACTAAGCGATCAGCGGCTTTCCAGCTAACGGCCTGAGTTGACAGGAGAGCCTTATTTTCAATTATGAATGTAAACAGAAATAAACGAGAGAGAGAAAGAGAGAGAGGGAGAGAGAGAGAGAGAGAGAGAGAGAGAGAGAGAGAGAGAGAGAGAGAGAGAGAGAGAGAGAGAGAGGGGGGGGGGGCAAAAAAAAACAGTAAACAACACAAAGGAAGGTAAACAGCCAACAACAGCAAACACAAAGGAAGGTAAACAGCCAGCAACAGACAACAACACAAAGGAAGGTAAACAGCCTGCAACACAGTCAACAACAGAAAGTAAGAATATCAAGTCCTATCATTCATATTTAAAATATTTCACTCACAAATTACTATCACAAGCAAAACAGTATTTCTCAATACATTTCAAAAATGCAACAATTCACAAAGCAAATACAAAATATATGTTCAATACAGAGTAACCAAACAAAAGGAATAATTTTTAAAAAAATGAAAACATGCATACAAAGAACACTGGGATAAAAAAAAGCCAAAAACTATACACAGTATTTTTGCTGGCACTACCCCAAAGTCACCCAAGTACTAAATCCTTGTTTAGAGGATAATGTATGAACACTGAGATCAAATGTAAATTATTTAGTTGTGTGAAAAGTGATACTTCATTCTGACCTATTTAGAGTAGGAATTAACCTGCACGCTTTTAGCATACTGTAAGTTGACAAATAACAGTCCTGAACCTGCATTTGGGTGAAAATCAAAATAATTGCACTTAGGTGACTCTGGCACAGGAACCAATAATGTGTTGAGTACATTGTTGCTACTGAGTGTCTATTTTAGAAGTCTATGATGCTTCGATTCCGGCATGCTTACCTTTACGGGCATTGCTATCTAGGTCACCGTCCACTTCTGCATCTTTGTAAGAAAAATTAGAAGGCAGTTGCAGGCAGGAAGAAATGTACTGGAAGAGGGGGGCAGTGATGACAGGCAGAGACAACCCATGTGGTGACAAAGATACAAATATAAGTAAAACAAACTGAGATGTAGTGGAAACATGGAGAAGAACTATAACAGTTACTAAAAAACTAAAATATTCATTTAACTAGAGTCTGCATAGAAAAGATGAAATTAAATGGGAAGGTAGAATCACACATTTTGAGTATTGGGACGGAACTAAACAAATTCCAGGGAATCAAGAGGGGAAGAAAAGACAGTGATCGAGTCTGGGACAGTTGTGCAGGCAAAACTGTGATCCTACTATAAATTACACTGCTGTTTTCTTCTTCTGCCCTGTATCCCCCAATGGAGCACAGGCCCTCAACCATCTCATACTAAGTTTTCCTATGCTTTGCTACTGGCTACTGCATGCAGCTCACTACATGTCCTCTCCATCTTTTTTTTTTTCCACCTTCTCTGAGTGCTTTTTTAAATTATTGTGCGGTCTACCTTTATTTCTCTGATCTATTGAGTTTCACTACCAGGACATTCTAATTATATTTTATTATGCTACTTTACAAAAGCTAAAAAAAAATATTTGCAACAAAAACAAAACAAAAACAGTGATCTGTCTTATAGCCATTTCTGTCACTAACTAACCTACTGTATTAAATCCCATGAAAGCTGACTTAATGTCGTGATCATGAAGAAGATGGATACAAGACGTTGGAGACAGTGTGAGCATAAAAATACATGAAGCAAGGGAAGTGAAAAGAGACTGAGTCCTTCCAGCAAAGACTGATGTGATGGAAGTAATATTTTGCAAAAGATCCGCTACATGATGAAAATGATGTCTGCCATGTAAGAACCTTTCATGAAATCAATTAAGATTAAATCAATAAGAAAGTAAATCAAACTTGTGTGGCTTACCTCCTGCATCACTCTTTGAAGAACTCACTCTCTGTGCAGGCCTTCGCAGTGAACTGGTCCTATTGTAAAATAAGAACAAATACAAAAAAGTTGTTAATAAAAAGTAAAGCCAATGTCACTGTAGATACTCACTATAAAAAAAAAGGTTGTTGCGTATCCTCTAGAGGACGTTGCAGAACCAACCCTAACAGCCCCTGGCTGTTGTGTGGTTTCTCTAGGCAAATTTACGTCCAGTAGTTTGCCATTGCTTTCTGGACGGTCGGCTTTCTTGATACCACTGTCGAAACCAACGCAAGGCGCATTGCCCGCAGCTGGGATCGAACCTGGCATCCCGGCATTACGAAGCGAAGTGTTCGCATCGACTTAGCCACAGAGCCGACAGATACTCACTACAATAACTTTAAAAAAAAAAAAAAAAACTTGTCATCACATGTATATTTAACTTGCATCTTCTCACACACTTGCAGCAACTCGTAATTCCAACGTACCGCGATCAAAAACCCACTGCTGGCTGCTTGGATTTTTATCATGATATGGGGCGTCACAGGTCGACCCAGCCTAAAATGGGTACCAGGTTGTATGTCCTGGGAAAGTAAGGACGGTCGGCGTAATGCTGACCATTCTACCCACCTAGTCCAATTTGTTCGTAACCATCTGGGTGCTCCTCCCACATGTCCTATGCGCCTAAAGGTGTGAAAAGGGATCTTTATTTACTTTACTTCTCAGACACTTGGCACTGAGCTTATCTTCAAGCATTCTCTTCTATTCCTCTACTAATTTCCCCCTGCATCTTGAAATGACATACTTCTATACATACCCTGAACTGACATATGGAGACCTTTCCTCACTGGCGGCCCGCGACCTTGACTTAGGTTTCAGATGCTCTCCGTTGAGGCTAGAACTAGAGGAAGAGTTGCTGACCTCCCCTTGCAGCATCTTCTGCTTGGAGGGGTCCAAAGAGTTGAGCAGAGCATCAGCTTGAGATTTGAAATGATCGGCAAATCCCCAGAATGCTCTGTTTGGAATAAATATGTCAAACAAATGAAGTCAGATTAAACTTGATGTTTCTGTACAAGTTAAAGCAATCTTAGCCCTAATCCCAGTAAGTACCAAGGTTATATTACATCCACATCCCATATTAGTCGTCACATGGAGAGGGGTGTGCAGTATGTCTATTCTCCACCCACCACCTCACCCCCTTTATGGGGCCCTAGAACCTGCACTGTGATGTTTGCCCTCAAATGGAATGCTTATTCCTTAGTTATGTCTTATAGAGGCTATGCAGTCATTTCAATATCATGGATAGAATATAGCCCAGCACTTTTGGCCTCTCTCATCAACATTTATCTTACGGTTTCTCTGTGTGTCCTTGTTTCCTCTATTACACATATGTTTCCTCTATTACACATATGTTTCCTCTATTACACATATGTTTCCTCTATTATACATATGTTTCCTCTATTATACATATGTTTCCTCTATTACACATATGTTTCCTCTATTATGCATATGTTTCCTCTATTACACATATGTTTCCTCTATTACACATATGTTTCCTCTATTACACATATGTTTCCTCTATTACACATATGTTTTCTCTATTACACATATGTTTCCTCTATTATACATATGTTTCCTCTATTATACATATGTTTCCTCTATTATACATATGTTTCCTCTATTACACATATGTTTCCTTTATTACACATATGTTTCCTCTATTATACATATGTTTCCTCTATTACACATATGTTTCCTCTATTACACATATGTTTCCTCTATTATACACATGTTTCCTCTATTACACATATGTTTCCTTTATTACACATATGTTTCCTTTATTACACATATGTTTCCTCTATTACACATATGTTTCCTCTATTACACATATGTTTCCTTTATTACACATATGTTTCCTCTATTATACACATGTTTCCTCTATTACACATATGTTTCCTCTATTATACATATGTTTCCTCTATTACACATATGTTTCCTCTATTATACATATGTTTCCTCTATTACACATATGTTTCCTCTATTACACATATGTTTCCTCTATTATACATATGTTTCCTCTATTACACATATGTTTCCTCTATTATACATATGTTTCCTCTATTACACATATGTTTCCTCTATTACACATATGTTTCCTCTATTACACATATGTTTTCTCTATTACACATATGTTTCCTCTATTACACATATGTTTCCTCTATTACACATATGTTTCCTCTATTATACATATGTTTCCTCTATTATACATATGTTTCCTCTATTACACATATGTTTCCTCTATTACACATATGTTTCCTCTATTACACATATGTTTTCTCTATTACACATATGTTTCCTCTATTACACATATGTTTCCTCTATTATACATATGTTTCCTCAATTATACATATGTTTCCTCTATTACACATATGTTTCCTCTATTATACATATGTTTCCTCTATTATACATATGTTTCCTCTATTACACATATGTTTCCTCTATTACACATATGTTTCCTCTATTATACACATGTTTCCTCTATTACACATATGTTTCCTTTATTACACATATGTTTCCTTTATTACACATATGTTTCCTCTATTATACATATGTTTCCTCTATTACACATATTTTTCCTCTATTACACATATGTTTCTTCTATTATAAATATGTTTCCTCTATTACACATATGTTTCCTCTATTACACATATGTTTCCTCTATTACACATATGTTACCTCTATTACACATATGTTTCCTCTATTATACATATGTTTCCTCTATTATACATATGTTTCCTCTATTATACATATGTTTCCTCTATTATACATATGTTTCCTCTATTACACATATGTTTCCTCTATTACACATATGTTTCCTCTATTACACAAATGTTACCTCTATTACACATATGTTACCTCTATTACACATATGTTTCCTCTATTATACATATGTTTCCTCTATTATACTAATGTTTCCTCTATTATACATATGTTTTCTCTATTATACATATGTTTCTTCTATTATACATATGTTTCCTCTATTATACATATGTTTCCTCTATTATACATATGTTTCCTCTATTATATATATGTTTCCTCTATTATACATATGTTTCCTCTATTATAAATATGTGTCCTCTATTATACATATGTTTCCTCTATTATACATATGTTTCCTCTATTATACATATGTTTCCTCTATTATACATATGTTTCCTCTATTATACATATGTTTCCTCTATTACTCATGTTTCCTCTATTACACAAATGGTTCCTCTATTACACATATGTTCTCTCTATTACACATATGTTTCCTATTTTAGTGCCCAGTGTTGGGGAAATATTGAGCTATTGAAAATGTTGAATGTTAAATAAAGAATCAACATCACAGCACTCCAGTAAGCACCACGTCCCCATCTTCAGTAACAAGTGAAGAGTTCCAATAACCAGTAACTGTCTGACTGTATATTTGTCTCACCTTTCCCTTGAGTTTTGAATGTCGGTCAGATCCCTTGGCAACTCCCCACATCGTCATTCTCCTCAGACAGTAATGTTCTATCTGTGGCTCCACACTCGCTCCCAAAGGACCCTCACAACATCTAGCTTGTAATACATTAATTCACCACCAAGTGGCACAGAACCGGCCAGTCTATCTATGCGCTACTTTCCCAACACACCAGCATGACTGGAGAAAATATCCAAATGAGGCTAACTTCCTGGGACCTCTGAAGCGATGTTTGCCACTCTGCAAGGATCATGCCTGTATCCACCTTTCTCAACATACTCTGTGAATCAGTTACAGTTAGGACATGTGTGTACAGCAGTTCTAGTTCTGAAGTCACCAAAGAGAATGCATAGTTGTAATATGTGCTCTGGACTCTTATGGAGGGAAAATAAAGAGACTCAATACCTACTTTCTAGAATGTGCCCTGGCTTCTAGGTCAGCATCATTGATACCTTTCTTGATGGCATCCTGCAGAATGGCAATGTGTTTCTCTAGACAGTGGGTTGGCCAGGAGTGTAATATCTGGTTGACAAACTCCAGTGAGTACCTGGTCAGTGATTACATGACACATTTTAGACCTATTACAAATGACATTTCTGAAACTGTAATTATGAGTATTATGACTATTAGACATAATGGATTAGAAACAGAACATACATTATAAATAAAATGTTTGGAAATTAAGCCTGCAATCAAATAAGGTGTGAAAATGAGACTATCTCAAATCAAAAATTAAAACCACAGATATCTAATGCACTGAACTTAAAACAGAGGACTCTTTCTTGGCAGTGTTGGATTTGGGCATGTAGGGCTAGAAACATATGTTTCTAGACCAACTAGCATTCAATGGGTTGTGTGGTCAACATCAAGCAGGCAGCTTTTACTTCCCAGGATATTACCTGGTGCCAATTTAAGGCTGGGGTGACCTAGAGCCAAAGTCAAATCCTAAAAAAAATCTGCCTCAATATGGACTTGAACCCTACACCTTTGGCTGGGCAGGCAAGCATCTAGCCACTACTCTACAGCAGCTCCCCTGAAGATATGTAGGGGATTGGGGGGGGGGGGGAAGCTATTTTGAATTAAAAAAAACACTACCTGTAGATATACAGTGTACTGAGCTGAAGGACTGAGCTCTTGAGGTTCACTGTCACAGATATCACCCATCTTCATACACATTTACAAGTGGCCTGCTCTTTCCAGTTGGTGACTCTAATTTTTGTAGAGTCAACTCGTACATTATTTCTCCACAATCATTATGAATGAACACTGTCAGCTAACATGTCTGTCAGTGTAAACAGTAGGCAAACAAGGAAGAAGATTTGAGGGTTAACAAAATTTTTGTTTAGATTACTCACCTTCTGATGATATTAGACTTTGATGTCAGGTGGCCTGTGATGATGGGAATGAGACGGCTGGTGTGGACAAACTGAAACATTTTAAAAAAAAAAAGACGGAAAAATATAAGATACATTGAACAGAGACGACAGGTGATTAACATGACCACACATAAACAAAATTTACAAAGAAATTTTTAAACAGATAAATGTAAGATACATTTAACAGAGATGGGCAGTGATTACCATCTGACCACACACAAAATTTACAAAGAAATATTTATTTTTAAAAAAATAATAATAATAATTAGTAAAGATAAAAATAACACACTAATCGACATTATTGATATTTTCTTCAACATCTATTAACGCTGTTCAACTTTATGAGAAAGTTTTAAGTAGGCGGTTAACAGGGTAGGTTCCTCAACATTGGTACATGAGTTTTGTTGTTCTTCCACTGGGCTTCAACTGTATTACACTCGGGTTTTCCCCATAGTGTTCATTTTTAGAAGAACCCATAGCCTATTTTTGTCTGTGGGCTTGCTAAGATTAGTCATGTGAAGGACTGTCCCAGTCTTATTTGAATGTCCTCCATCTGTGTATGCTTTGTTCAGCTCAATATTCTTTTGCTGTGATCATTCTATCGTAGCCTGCTCTTTGGTACAGATGTGAATGCTGATCGTGAGTCATGGAATCGTGAAGACACTGAAGGCAGGAGAGAAATAGTTTTCCAGAAGAATTTATAACGATATCATGGAGAGAGGAGAAAAACCAACACAGGGGCAGTGAGATCTACAGATGTCATAGTTATTATTAATAACCATAAGGAAAAAATGAAAAACCCCCTCAAAATAACTCACCTACATTAGTTAAACCCATCCACCTTAAAAAAAAAAAACACCCACATGCAATAACAAACCCAGCTTGATTTAACAAATGTACATGGAGCAACAACCCATATATGCAGCAATTTATATGACAACCTATCCTCTATGAGGATGTAGGATGTAACACTTAGACAAGATACCAAATTATATATTGTATCTGCCCGTGTGGGTTCCGGGGCCCTATTACATGGAAAACAAGAATAGACCCACTGTCTACCCACAAGCATGTCGTAAGTGCAGACTAATTGGTAGCTTCCTTCAAAGTCAGAGTACATCTGCCTGAGAGGCAAGGAACCAACAGTCTGCATACAAATGAGTCAGATCTGTAAAAGGGATGCACACGCAACACTTAGGTTCTGGAACAGGACTGCAGTCCAGCTTTCGGCCAAAATGAACGCTAGTCACGGCTACTGTTTTGAGCAACAGCAAATTTTTTTTTCCTGCCAGACGGTGGCTGTTGCATTTTTGCTCCATTTGTAGACTGAAAGGATATATTTTCGTTGCCCAGCTTCTGAGTTGAGTGCATGGCATGACACTGTGAGCTGCAGATTTCATTTGGAATGTTTTTCGACGGTGACCAACATGGTGGTGTGAACTGTAGATTCAGAAAATGGTGCGATGCCTGTTGTCGTAATATTGGTGGTGCCATTATGTGATTAAAAATGATCGCGTGTGCAATTGCTGATCTGTTAGTGACTTCTGCTACCATTCATGATGAACTGCATTTCTAATGTCAAACTGTTTGTGTTAACACTTTGGATGGCTACCATATGCTTTTAATGCATGTGTATGCTAGATGTGCTGAGAGAGCAGTCTGTCAATCTTTCCTGTGATAAACATTCTGTGTGTTTTCGTTGGCACAGGAGGGGAGCAACTATGGGCGACCCGTTTGCTATGAAGCTGAAATTAAGATAACCAGATTACCAGTCCAGAAGTGGACTAACAACCAGAATTTTCCGCCAGAAATTACAGCTGGTGAACATGAAGAAGAAGAAGAAGAAGATATAACATATCCTATATTGAGGTTACCCACCCATCCTATATGCAGTAATCCACTACATAAGGTTAAAAAGTTAGCTGCATATCTATTAGAGGAGGTTGCTTAATCAACACTAGCATTTGTTGAATGTACGTGACTGTTTGTTGACCTCAAAGAGGTCTGCTACCGAATTGCCCTGAGCTGGAATCGAACTGGGTATCTCAGAATTATGAAGCTCATACACAATGTCTAAGCCACAGATGCTGACCTACATAGGGTAACTGAACCATATTACTATATTACCCTATCCTTTAATAACCCCCCCCCCCCCCCCCCCCCCTCACCTGTATGAAGTAACCTACACATGTAACTCACTCACATGACATACCTAATGTGAGGTAGCCTTCTCCACAAACATGACATAAGTTATCCTACAGTGGGGGAGGGGGGAGACCTACCCCACATCCTATAAGGCAACCCACCCTTTGAAAACAAAAAAAACTTACAGATGAGGCAACTCACCTGCATGATAAATCGTATACAGACAACCCCTGAAGTGGACATGACCTTTGCACTGTTGGGGATGAGGTTGATAAGTGAAGGCAGCACCAACTCTGCAAAATGATCAAACTTAGGACCCAGTTGTTGTGCGAGGTACCTGAGAAGGAACATATGAACAGAAAAATCACTAACAGCGCATATATGAAAATAAATAAAAACAAATAAACATTTAACACATAATTTCATTTAAGTTTAACCGGAAAGGCTAACCGGGTCAACAAACGCCTGCAGAAGCTAGATGTGTCAGCCAAAAGGTACAAATATCGCAGCCAGGTTGTAAATGGGCACAACACAGTTACATCTTTGGATGAACGCAGAAGAAGAAGATGATTTCATTTAAAACATTTGTGAGAAATCAGTAAAGAGCAGCAAAGAGAAAAATGTGATCATGAACTTTGTCTACTGCCAGAGACAACCCAGAAAGAACAAAATCACGTAAAAGAAGAATTGGAAACCTTTTTTTTTTTAAACACCTGTAGTACAATGGGCACATAATGGTAGACTCCTATTTTATAGGCTAATTGGCACTCTGTGGGTGATGTGATCAACCAGCTGCCTTTACTTCCCAGGACATTACCTGGTACCCATTTAAGGCTCGGTTAACCTGGGAGCCAAGGTAAATTGTAAAGAAAAAATCAATACAGATCTGAATCCAAGACCTTTGGGCCAGCCAGCGAGTGACAATCACATAATATGGAGTTGAACGTTCACTGTCCAGTAATCATTTATGATTAATGCAATAATACAAGGTTGCCTTAAGCTTGAAGAGGCAATGGTCTAATCTTCCACATTCCAAAGGCATTGCTTGCCATGGAACAATATTCAGCTGATAAGGTCAATGTCACACTTAAAAAAGTCAGTTGCACCTCCCTTATAATAGTGTTTTTCAACCTCTGGGACACGACCCACTGGTGGTCTGTGAAAAGTGGGCCACTAAAAATTGCTGCCTAATCATGTAACTGTGTAGGGAGGATAGATTCTCTCTTCCAAGATTGCAGTCTGTAGGATTAACACATTAAGGATTAGAATCAAACAGCTACAAATCCCAAAACTAATTCAACCCCATTAAACACAGCGCCCAACAGTTACGTAACCTGTAGTCCAGTCTGGGCTAACAACAAGAACTATAGCTCATCTAGCAGCTACAAGATTCCGGAACTACGTTACTGTAAATCAGCAAACAATGTGGTGTGACAATTTGACACCGGAATTTTAGTCGTGGCCACCAAATATCAGAATTGTTTCGGCTTCACCTATCAACAGGACAAACAATTCTCATTTCACTGCATTCGTCCATACTGCTTTTAAATACTGTGCTGTGCTTATTTAGTAAAACAGGTTCATTTCTTTCGTTAAATTTCACAATGGCAACAAAAATCAGCCAGTAAAACAGTTTAACCTTCTTGAGTACAGACAAAGACAACATTCAAGGCAACAGTAATAGTGATACATTAACTATGCCAGGTACTAGTGCTTCATATTTAAAAAAAACAAACAGATATGTACATTCTTCATAATGTGCAATACAAACCAAATAGAGAAAAGTAAACCTTGTTAGGCATTTAAACTTTTTTTTGGGGTCAAAGCTTGCCAAATTGCCCACAGCTGGAATCGAACCAGGTATCTCGGAATTACAAATCACTCTTACAAGCTCATAGCCCAATATGCCAACTATTTTCCCAGAATTAGTGTGTTGAATGTCGAGCTGACTCTTTGCGTTCACATCAAAGCACTCAGGAAATTCCATTCCACACTCAGCAGCCAGCGCAGAGTTCCGATTTCAATGATGCCAGTAGCAACTAGACTATGTATTTTCAAGAAATATATTCTGGCCACCTCTTTCTCCATCACTGGGAATGTAACCAGTTGGACCAATGTCAACTGGCCCTAACCCTAACTCCTACATTAGTTTAATAAATCCATTACGGTTACATATAAAGCACCTTAATAGAGAAAAATACCTACAAGAAAGAAAGGCAAATTAGAAGAGAAAAAAAAATATAAAAAGACAGACAAATATTCCAAAGGTAAGACAGATTGGAAAAAATTATAGCAGAAGGCATGGTACCAGGAAGGAGGGGCAGGGGCCGACCAACATGAAGATGGGCACAGGATATAAGTGACTCCTTGAGTGTGAAAGTACATGAGACGGAAGAACTGGCAAGAGACCAAGTTTCCTTCAGGCAGACTGTGAGGAGAGTGACATTCTGCAAAGGACCTGATTCATGACGATGAAGACAACTATTCCAAAGTAAACACCATCAACTACTTACGCGATGGTAATACATCCTTCCCTGACCACTTGTGACCTCAGGTCCTTGACCACCAGCATGAAAGCCGACTCTAAAGTCCGCAGCGACTGAAAGAACTCATCATAGTCTGCAGCCCCAGCAATAACCAAAGACCTCACCAGCTTTGTCTGCAAAAGGAAATGTCAGGAAAATCTTCTTTATATCTGAACAATAAACCTGCCTTTCTTTGGTAACAGCTTGGACAATACCACCATATATGAAATATACAGAATTAATATTCTTCTGTGCGTTCTTCTTCTTAGAGCCCATGTCGTGTGACGTGGGTAGTCATATTGATCCAAAATCTTCTGTCTCTAGTGCTTTCAATCAACTCTGACACAGATGATCTCTCATGCCATGATGTCAAACTATCCAGCATCTGTTCTATCCATCTCCCTCTCCTCCCTTCTAACTTTCCTACTGTCACAATGTACTCCAGTATTCTCCTTCTCATCACATGACCAAAGTATGTAGATTGTCTCTTTGCGTTCACTAGCTGTAAAATCCGGCAGATAGTTTTGGTTGTTCAACCATTTCCAGACTTCAGATATGTTCCAGAAGGTGAGTTTTGTGTGCATATCCATTTTACAGATCTGGCTTGACACAGTATTGGACATATGGAAACTCAGAAATTGTTGTTCTTCATGTTCAGTGGCTGTAAACAATGGAAAGTTCTGCTTGTTCGTCAACTTCTGGATTTTGGTCTTGTTTTGCATGAACCCCCATTTACAGATCTGGCTTATGTGTATGCAGACTGCTGGTTTGTTGCCTCTTAGACAGATGCATTCTGACTTCAAAGGAGACTCCTTACTGGTCGACTCTTACATGCTTGTTAGGGAGGCAGTGGGTCTATTCTTGTTGTCCCCGATAATAGTGTCCCAGATCCCATACAGGAAAGCCTAGAAATTAACAAGACATTATTAGAAATATAAGTCAGCATCTGTGTCTGAGAGGTTAAGAAAGCTACAACATGCCCGGGTTTTGAGGTCAGCTACAGGCAGGCAGGCAGGTGGTTTGCTGGGAAATAAATCATTACATTCAACCAGCACACCCGAAGGGGAAGCTTTAGGTTATAATTGTGACTAGCTTATGTGTACTATGTAAAATGGCTTAGCATTGCACACCACCAAGAGCCCTGACAAGGACTCCTGCAGTGCTGATTTGATCAAAGGAGACAGACCCAAATACTGTACCAAACAGCAAAGAAGTCATCTACGGGCGAGCCTGTGGGCAACCTAATCGCCGATGTTAGTTGCAGGTGATAGCTAGCAGACTGCTTTTTGTGTATCTGACAATGATTTGAGCATTGTCAAATTCAGAAAGCAATGGCAAACTACTTAATTTAAAATTGCCTACTAAAACCATTAACAGCAACCTCCTACAAACATAAATCAACAAGCATCATCCGTCTGCAACATCTGACAATTTTTCAGTTTAAGCAAAAAGTGCTGCCAGTGATTTTCCTGCTATGTTCACCTCCCTTTCCTCAATGCAATTCTGCATTTTTAACTCTAAAAACCATTACTCCATTCCTGTTTTACTGCTCACATGGAAACAAACCTAAATCTCCAAGGTGTAAGACTGGTTTGAGTTAATAACTGATACCACAGCATTCAGAACATTTTCCTAACTGCTCCATTCCCATCTTCAGCAGCTAGCGCACAGTTCCAGTACCAATAGTGCCAGTATAAGGCAGGTAGGGTCTCACTCTAACCACAGCTGCATAAAGTGTTGCAACTAAACAAAATAACACAAACAGAACCTTACATAATCTATTCTTTTCTCCCAGGTGACATTTGTGTCAGACAAGACATCCTTAATCTTCTGTATCTGCTCTTGAACATCTCTCGCAGAAAAAATCTTTGTTGGACAGAAACAATCAATCACTTAGAATTTTATTAATCTGAAATAAACAACTTACAGCAGCCAGGTTTAACTCTGCCTCAAATAGCTAATAATAACTCAGATAATAATAATTAATTACATGAACAACAAAAACGAAAGCATTTAAATAAAGAATAATAACTTATTACAACAAAAACCCCAAAAATGTACTAAAAAGAACTAATTTGAACACAAAGCTAATAATAACCCAAAATCAGTGAATAGGAACTAATGTAAAGAGACAAACAATTAAGAAGAACATATAAACACAAATAATTAGACCTCATTAAAAAAAAAATATTAAGAACTCGTTATGTTTGTTTTTTGTGTGTTCAAAACAGGCATCATTATCGTTTGACATTTAACTCAAAAATTAAAGAAACAATAACAACTGCCTGGACAAGAAGTTACTGCATTATGAGCACTAAGTGAATAATGGCACAAACAATCAGAACATGCAAATTTAAAATTTGTCGGGCTTTCACAAAATAATTTTGTCTGTGTGGCCATCAAGATCCTAACAACAACAGAAAAGTGAAATAAAAAAAATACCTTGACATTGGGAACATCTTCAAATGACTTGATGAAATGTTCCTCATCAACTGCACCAGATCCACCTCCAGCCGAAGCTTAGATAGAGAGAAAAAAAAAAACAGGCTGATTAGCCACTGGCTATAAATATCTTACTGTTACAAGTGACGAAGTCAATCAATCTTTCTGTTACAAGTGACGAAGTCAATCATTCTTACTGTTACAAGTGACAAAGTCAGTCAATCTTACTGTTACAAGTGAGAAAGGCAATCAATCAATAAATCAGCATGTCTTTTACAGAACGTCGTTCTCTTCCCGACACACCTGAAAGTCTCTCTTTCTCTGACTAATTCTCCAGTCCTGTGTGCTTTCAAAGCCAATATAACTTCAATGTTCTGTATCCAAATTTGTAGAGGTTGGCCTCTGCCACATCTTTCAAAAACTGCACTAGCCATCACCGCTCTCTCCAGACCACTATTGTGCTTGACATGTCCAAAGAAAATTAAGATAAAGCAACTTCTAAAGTTGTATTAAACCAAGTGCTTTAATGTCTACCATTTTTAGGGAGATGTAAGAGGGACAGGAGCTTGAGTATTTGAAACCACATTGCTAATGCAGTCGCTACACAACTGCAGGTCCGAACTTCTAAATTTGTCAATAACAGAAAAATTCCCATCCCTTACTGTGAACAGAACCCAAGTCTCCCTCATAAGAGCCCAGCATTCTAAACATTTGGCCAGCCTTCTTCGAAAAGTTAGAAAAAAAAAATCCTTAACAAATTGGAATGAACAGAGAATGATTAAATTAAATACATTATACAGTAGTATTTCGGGCACATATTAAAAAAAATCCCAATAAATAATAATGGTAAAAACACGGACAAGAGGAAAAGGGGATTTAAATGGGAGAACACATCAGGGAGAGGGACAAAAGCAGACAAGTCTTAAAAATGAAGGCGGGTTAATTACAGCTTAATTACAATCTGCCCATTTAGGTTATGTCAGATTCTTACTCTTCTAAGGGTTCAATGTCTGTAAACTCCAGCAAAAAGTTATGGTTGTTTGTCCAGTACTGGACTTTGATCTTATTCCTTCCAGAACGTGAGTTTTGCTTGCATATCCACTTTTACAGATCTGGCTTATCTGTACACAGTCTGTTGGTTCCTCCCCTCTCAGGCGGATGCATTTCAACTTTGAAGGAAACATCTCTAATTAGTCCCTTGTATGACATGCTTGTTGGGAGAGGGGGTGGGGTGGGGTGGGGGCACTTGTTCTATTCTTTTCCCCCTAAAATGGGTTCCCAGAACCCACAAAGGGATGTCAGATTAATAATAGCTGAATTACAATCTGCATATTTGGGTATAGAGAAAAAATAAAGATCCCTTTTCACTCCTGTAGGCGCATCGGGCAAATGGAAAGAGCACCAATATTTTTACAGACCATTTGGCACTACGTGAATAATGTGGTCACCATTATGCCGGCCACCTTTACTTCCCTAGGACATACATCCAGCATTTAAGGCTGGGTCGACCTGCGATGCCCCATACCATGATAAAAATCCACGTAGGCAGCAGTGGGTTTCTATCGCAGGACGTTGGAATTATGAGTCGGACTAACAAAGCCTAAGCCACGGATGCTGCATATTTTGGTATGTCTCAAGGTTAATGGTGTTGATTCTTGTCAATCAATCAATCAATTACAATCTTACCTGGAAAGACGATACAATTCTCCTGGAAATGTTAGACTAAATACTATCCAAGAACAGTCTAATCATTTTTTAAATAAACACCCGGTGACACAAAGTGCCACCATGCGGAAGAGGATCACCCGTGGAGAGGTCCCAGAAACCCCTTTCGATCGTTAGGCCATATCTATGGCTAGGCCATATCTATGCCCCAGCTATATTCAGGACCACCGGCAGAAGCAAGGGTGGGGCTTTAAACAAAAAATTGCATCCCACGAGGGGACGACTATTACAACTCACCCCGCGAAAGTCGGTTTCCCACTTTTAAAGGTTTCTGATGACATGATGTTCTTGGACAGGGGCCACTATGCCATGAGAAAAGTTTTGATACTGGTAGGTAGGTAGGCGTTTTGCTAGGGGGGGTGGGGGTGGGCTAATTATCATGTTTAACCACCATCCCTGAAGGGGGAGCTTTAGGTTAACATTGTGACTCGGTTATGTGCGCCATATAAAATGGCTTAGCAGTGCACGCCACTAAGAGTCCTGACAAGGACTCCTGCAGTGTTGGTGCTATCAAAGGAGACAGACCCAAATACTGTCCCTGCCGAGGACCAAGTCATCTTCCGGCGAGTCAATGGGCGGCCCGGTCACCAATGATTTGGTACTGTTGCGATTGCAAATGAGTAAACCTAGTAGGTATGATTACATTTACCAAATTGAGATATATCCTGGGGTTTAAAAAAACATTTTTTTTTTTCATTGTCTCATCATGTTAAACTTATGATGACACCGGTTTGCTCTCTGAGGCAGTGTCAACAAAACCTTGTTTTATCTTCGTCAAAGGGAGGGAAAGCAGTTATTTCTCTGCTCTGATGGAATTTAGTCATTACTTCCCTTCATATAAAGCAAATCTGTACAAAAAAATGACTTAAAAAATCCATCTTTTTACTGATTAGGAGGCTGCAATGATGCAACAGCTAACAGGCTTGCAAGTCAATTCAGTAGTCATAGATTTTAACACCTGGATTTGCATAAAAACTGATCTAGACTACAAAACTGTTTCTGCTTCTTTTTATCTTCCTCTAGTTCGTAAAGGGTAGAATGCAAGCATTCCAGAGAACTATAACAATGGGTGTTTTTTGTTTTGTTTTTGGTTGTTTAAAAGTTTTTTTTAAATTAAATTCTGTTTTATAGATTTATATGGAATGAAAAGGTTAGGCGTGCAGTTTGGACGTTGTATTGTGGTTCTGCTCTAGACTGCGATATCTATGCCTTATCCCCCAACACATCCAGTTTCAGAAAATCTGAACTAGTCACTTTGTACCACGTTTGTTAAGGAGCAGTGGGTCTATCTTTAATCCACCCCCCCCCCCCCCCCCCCCCCCCCCATTAAGGCACTGAGACCCACATGGGATTGTACATCTACTAAGAGGTTACTTTATTATGCTGAAGCTACAGATCAGAATTTTTATCCATATCTAGTGAAATGTGTAATTTGTGTAAAACTGTTATATCAAACAGGCATCACAAGATACATCATATACAAAAATAAACACTCACTAAAACAATGAGAGACTTGTGTGTTTGACAAGCAACAAACATTCACAGATAACCAAGCAGGAATATACAATATATACAAAGTTACAGCAACAATTGAAATAACAATGTCTCTTCTTCTTCTTCTTCTTTGATCCTTCTGCCAGAAAACTTGTATCAGAAGGTCAGTAGCTTATGAAAGCTATCGTGCAGCCCAAATCTCCCTGTATACTTTACAGCTTTGTCTTCTTTGAGGTTTTAATAGGATAGATTGCTTCTCTACTAGCAACATACAGTTGTCAGTGTTGGAGCATTTCCTGGTGCCCAGTTGCAGGAAAACATTCCTGTGTTTCCTACACTGAAAAATGTGAACATATATCGACGAAGTCTCTTGTGCCCTGTCCTTTTCTAAATACAACACACTCTCTTTAAAGAGGTGACGAAGTCTCTTGTGCCCTGTCCTTATCTAAATACAACACACTCTCTTAAGAGAGGTGATGAAGTGAGTTTTGAGCTTTGCATCTCTCCAGTCTTCCAGTACATGGGACCAGTAAATATTTCCATGTCTGACATGTACACGGAGCACATGGTCTTCTGTCAAAATACAGAGGGCCTGATTTTGATCTGTGAGACTTGCTGAACATTTGATTTAATGGTTCTGCCCCAAGCAGTTATCCCATATTCAGGTGTTGGCCTCACATAGCTTGTAGAGGTTCTCTTGAGGACACTGTTCCAGCTTATTTCCTCATTAGCTGAGTTCTCTTGAGTCCTCTGCTTTTATTCTTTTATATTTGCTTTTTCAACGTATGGGCCTTGCGTCAAAGGTTAGTCAACGTAGGCCTGAATGACATAGGTGAGTAAAACTTTCGGGGGTTTGGTGGACAGACTATAAAAATGGTCAGTGTGGTTTTGGTCCCTTTCACAGGCATGTACCATCTATTGGACCCCTTCTCTAGATTTCTGAAGGATTCTTGAAGAACTGTCTGTGCTGTGTCAATATACTTTTCCGAGCTGTGAGTAGCCTCAGGTGACTGGCATTCACGACAGCTTGAACTCCATTACAGAGGGTGCAATTTATGTCATTAATATAAATAAGAAAAACAACTAGGCATAGAACTTCGCCTTGTGGGACTCCATGCTTCATTTTGATTGATCTACTTCTTGAACCCTGTATCCTTATTCTTGCCTAGATTTTCCAGGTATTTTAAGATTTACATAAGCATGTGATGGGATATTCCACTTTCAACTACTTTTTGATTAGGCCCAATATTCCACACAATGTCAAACAAAAGTATTTTCCATATCCACCCAGAATGGAATCCATTTTCAACTGTTTTGTGCAATATAATTAATCTGATCTTCTGTTGATCTACAATGTCAAAAACCTGATTGTTCCTCCATTAGTTTGAAATGTTTCTCTAGAAAACAGGTCAATCAGTGGTTTACTAATCTTTCAGATAATCTGCTCAGACAAATAGTGAGGCTCAGGGATCTGTAGCTGTCTGTGCTGTTCTTCAGCTTTCCTTGCTTGATGATTACAAATATTTCAGGATGCAGAATGATGGTTTCTTTCACCCAGCATTACAGCACTGTTGTAGGAGCATACACTACAATAGTGACAAAAACAAGTAGCATCACAACACTGTTGTACAAGCATACACTACAATAATGACATAAACACCCAGATTAACACTGTTGTACAAGCATACACTACAATAGTGACAAAAAACACCCAGCATTACAACACTGTTGTAGCAGCATACACTACAAAAGTGTCACAAACTACCAGCATTACAACATGGTGTAAAAGCTTACACTACAATAATGACGTAAACTAAACACCCAGCATTACAACTGTTGTAGGAGCATACACTACAATAGTGACAAAAACACCCAATATCACAAATGCTGTAGGAGCACACACGTGACAATGGTGTAGGAGCATACACTACAATAGTGACATAAACAACCAGCATTACATCACTGGTGTAGGAGCATACACTACAATAGTGTCATAAACAGCCAGCATTACATCACTGGTGGAGGAGCATACACTACAATAGTGACATAAACAACCAGCATTACATCACTGGTGGAGGAGCATACACTACAATAGTGACATAAACAGCCAGCATTACATCACTGGTGTAGGAGCATACACTACAATAGTGACATAAACAACCAGCATTACATCACTGGTGTAGGAGCATACACTACAATAGTGACATAAACAGCCAGCATTACATCACTGGTGTAGGAGCATACACTACAATAGTGACATAAACAACCAGCATTACATCACTGGTGGAGGAGCATACACTACAATAGTGACATAAACAGCCAGCATTACATCACTGGTGTAGGAGCATACACTACAATAGTGACATAAACAACCAGCATTACATCACTGGTGGAGGAGCATACACTACAATAGTGACATAAACAGCCAGCATTACATCACTGGTGTAGGAGCATACACTACAATAGTGACATAAACAGCCAGCATTACATCACTGGTGTAGGAGCATACACTACAATAGTGACATAAACAGCCAGCATTACATCACTGGTGTAGGAGCATACACTACAATAGTGACATAAACAGCCAGCATTACGTCACTGGTGGAGGAGCATACACTACAATAGTGACATAAACAGCCAGCATTACATCACTGGTGGAGGAGCATACACTACAATAGTGACATAAACAGCCAGCATTACATCACTGGTGTAGGAGCATACACTACAATAGTGACATAAACAGCCAGCATTACATCACTGGTGTAGGAGCATACACTACAATAGTGACATAAACAGCCAGCATTACATCACTGGTGTAGGAGCATACACTACAATAGTGACATAAACAGCCAGCATTACATCACTGGTGTAGGAGCATACACTACAATAGTGACATAAACAACCAGCATTACATCACTGGTGGAGGAGCATACACTACAATAGTGACATAAACAACCAGCATTACAAAACCAAAGGGGAAGTTGTACATGTGTTCCAAGATAATGATGACAACATCACAACCATTACCAGATCTCTTGCGCCGGGACTCAGCTGTGTGAAATGATCAAATACTGTGTTGATTTATATATTGTTTGTGTGTGCACATTTGTGTTGATTTCACTATGCACTTTCCACGCTTGTGTGTGTGTGTGTGTGTGTGTGTGTGTGTGTGCATGCCAGAGACAGAGAGACATGATGTAGCAAGAGTGAGAGAGAGAGAGAGAGAGAGAGAGAGAGAGAGAGAGAGAGAGAGAGAGAGAGAGAGAGAGACAGAGAGACAGACAGACAGACAGAGAGAGAGAGAGAGAGAGAGAGAGAGAGAGTGGCCTACAAAAGATAGCACTGAAGAGGGCAGAGGGGGGGGGGGGGCAAAAAAAGAGAGAGAGAGAAGAGGTATCATGAGAGGGAAAGAGAAAGACTTATATCCTGAAGAAGTAATTCTGACAGACCAAAAATGAAAGAGGCAATCAGAGAGAGAGAGCGAGAGAGAGAGAGGGGGGGGGGAGGGAGAGAGAGAGAGAGACAGTGAGATAAAAAAGGATAACAAAAATGATTTTTAAAAAAATGTTAAGAAAGACAAAAGCATTAACAGACAAAGACATAATAAGAAAAAAAATGACAGGCACTTACAGAAAGAGAATATAAAAATGAGGAATGCATGCACCAACAGAAGAAACGACAAATATTTTTCACCAGAGGCGTACGTAGCACATCTGGACTTCAGAAAACTGTCTGCCTACCATATCAAAAGACCAGAAAGACACTGACAAGATCATGACAGGTTTACAATATTGAAACAGAAGAACATTGATCACTACTTTCATTCACTCATTTCCACCTAGCTTTCTTTTATTTCTGTACATATCATTATATTATATCATCTTCAACCTGTATCTTTGTTCTTCAATCATTGTTACCGTCATTACTCCTGCTTCACTCACTTCTCCATGTTCTTTCCTTGACAAATACAAGAGGACACATGCTATCATTAGCAGAGAGAGTTTGTCTCAGGGTTCCCACCAAGTCTTCTGCCCTTACCCTTGGCCTCTGTGGCTCGCTGATGACACATATAATTTGTTCTGTTCCCAGCTGGTTGTAAATTTAACAGCTGCTCTAGTTATTAGTGTAATGCCCAATGTTCCACCTGCTGTAACATTAACACTACACTTCTTCTTTCTGCTTCTTCTGCCTTACTGCTTATGCCTTAAAGCATTATAGAAAGGAGTTAGATGTAGTTCCCTCGTCTTTGCTAATTGCTAGCTTGTTAGCTTGTTTTAGTCATGTCATACTGCACTTTTGTAGCGTCTCTTTTATGCCCATCTCTTTCTTGGTTGGCCTCTTGCCCTAAAGCCTGCAGTTCTCTTGTAGTACACTCTAGCAGCTGTCTGGTGTTCCATTTTAATTAGATAACCAAATAATTTGATTCTTTGATGTTCTATCAATCATTTACCAGTCCTGTGCCTACCATTGTTCTTAGTTCTTCACCGGTTATTGTCTCTTCTTGTTTTTTCCACCTGCATTTCTTATACATCTTATCTCACATGTTACAATTTTGCATTTACATCTTTGAAGGTCTGTCTACATCTGGCATTGACAGCACAAACTTGGTATGATTAGCGCTTCTATCAGCAGCTTTTTATAAATATCTCCATTTTTTTTTTTTAAACATGTAGAGCATTCAGCCTAGATGAATTACACTAAAACTTCTGAATGGTCAATTTTAATTATTTCATTAAAAAGCAGGGCACAACTGATTACGTAACCACATGTACACAAAATTCAAGATAGGTGTATCAGCCACGTGCACCTGTGGAAAGGTGTCCCAGATAACAGAGCATGTACTCCTGGACTACACCGAATTTGACACATTAAGGCAAACCTTTTGGCCAGAAAGAACAACAGTGGAACGTAAACTCTATGGACCACTGAATGAACTAACGACGACAGTGAAATTTATACAAGAGACAAAACTGCTGATATAGACAACTTATTTCAGGCGAACAAAAGAAGAAGAAGAAGAAATAAAATCAATATAGTTAACAAAAATGACACTTCTCTACAAAAACTCACATTCAACTCTTCAAAGATCTCAGTTTAATTTTACAATGTCACATTCAAGTGCACAGATATATGAATTCCCCAAATACTCACACTCAGTTCCATGTACATCTACACTTAATTCTACAAAGAATTAGTAATCACTTAGAGGCATCAATTCTATCAAAACTCACTCAGCTCCTCACTGAACTAAACTTTACAGAGTCACATTCAACTTCACAGATATAAAAATCCCACAATTACTCACACTCAGTTGCATGCAGAATTATATTTAATTCTACAAAGAATCAATAATCACTCACAGGCATCAATGTTACACAGACACAGAGCTCCTCACATAAGTTTTATACAGATTCTCAACAAAGACTCTTAACAATGATGCTATACTACTGCACACACTCTACAAAATTCCACAAGAGACTCACCAGCTGAAGAAGCAGTTCTCTTAGGACCACCACTAGACACTGAACTAGGCTTCTTCGGTACAGCTTTCCCTGGTGTTGGTTTGATAAAGTCAAAGTCAGTCTCATCGGTGGTGGAGCTACTGCTGCGGGAAGGAGCTGTGGAAGAGCAGGCCAAGGAAGCAAATGTAAATGGGTATTAATTATTTCAGTTTCAGATTTCAGAGCATAAAAAATGTAAAAAAAAAACTGAAGGAAAATCAAGGTCGTGTCAAAATATCCATCTTCTTCTTTGTGTTCACCCATTATACACTCCGATGGAAAAGTGTGGTTGTTCATCCACTTCTGGACTTAAGACTTATTCCAGAAATTGAGTTTTGTGTGCACATCTGTTTTACAGATCTTGTTTACCTGTATGCAGACTGTTAGTTCCTTTCCTCTCAGGCAGATGCACGCTGATTCTGAAGGAAACACCCCTTATTAGTTGATTTTTATGACATGCTTGTTGGGGACGGAAAGGGGGGGGGGGGAGGGCGCAGTGGGTCTGTTCCTTTTTTCTCTCTCCCATAGTGGGACCCTAGAACCCACACAGGCAATATCAATGTTACACAGACAAAGACAGAACACAGGAACAATAACCACGCTGACAAAGCAAGAGTTATTACTTTCAATGAGGCAACATATAATGTGTAGCTTGTTAAATGCCTAGCCAGATTTCTTTGGTATGATCAGGCTTAACTAAACAATAAAAGATTTATTCTTTTTCTTCTTCTTATTCTTCACGTTCACCAGCTGTAAACTCTGGCCAGAAGTTATGATTGTTTGTCCACTTCTAGATTCTAGTCCTGTCCCAGAACCTGAGTGTTATGTGAACAACCGTTTTATAAATCTGATCTATCTGTATGCAGACTGTTGGCTGCCTGTCTCTCAGAACAGTGGGGCCCCAGAACCCCTACCGGAAGAGTTTCTTTCAAAGTCAGGGTGAGAGGTGAGGAACCAACAGTCTGCATACGAATACAATCTGTAAAATGGTTGTGCATGCAAAACTAGTTCTGAAACAAGACCAAAGTCCAAAAGTGACCAAACAGCCAGAACTTTCCTTACACTTCTATGTACACCTAACAGGCACATACATATGTATGCATAATACACATACACCCACACACACACATGTGCGTGCGCACACACATGTGTTTACATGTAAATTAATCTTTCGCACAAACATATATATATATATATATATATATATATATATATATATATATATATATATATATATATATATATATATATATATATATGTTTACATACAAATGAATCTCTCTCTCTCACTCACTCTCCCCCCTCTATTCACCGAGAGAGAGAGAGAGAGAGAGAGAGTGAGAGTGAGAGAGAGGGAGGGTGAGAGAGAGAGAGGGGGTGAGAGAGAGAGGGAGGGTGAGAGAGAGAGAGAGAGAGAGAGAGAGAGAGAGAGAGAGAGAGAGAGAGAGTGAGAGAGAAAGAGTAAATACTTCTGAAATATGCATCCACTCCAACAGTCTATGTCAGCCATGCCCATCTGGACTAAATATCAAAGACTCCAATCCCATCATGCACATGCCCACGTGCATACCCACTCAGTGAAAAGCTCACAGTTTAACCACAATCCCGTATCTGTTTCCATAACAGCGGGTACTTATCCAAAGCTCTGGTTTGATACTTAATTAATTAACTAAACACAAGCTATTATTAAGACGCCCAACAAAAGGAAGGGATAGATGGTTGTAAGTGTATGTGTGCGTAAGAGAGAGAGAGAGGGTGGAGAGGGAGAGAGAGTGGGGGAGAGAGATAGAGAAGGAGAGAGAGAGGGAGAGAGGGGAAGAGAGAGGGAGGGAGAGAGGGAGAGAGAGAGGGTGGAGAGAGAGGGAGAGGGAGAGAGAAAGGGAGAAAGAGAAGGCGGGCATGACTACAGCCGACAGTTTCTTTACACTGTTTTTTTTTTATTCAACGAATTTTAAAAAAAAACAAGAATCCTAGGCCACAACCGCAAATCGAAGTAGCAAACGTCTAGTTAATTGCTGTCTTGTTAATTCGTGTCGTGATAAAAGAATGGACCGCAGTCACTCCAATTTTCAACACTCTTTTAGTACGGTACTTGGTGAATTCTGTAGCTTTGGCGTTGCGAATGCGCTTCGTTTTTCCGAGGTACTGGGTTCGTCCGACTGCGCTCGATTTGTCAACAGACCACCTTGCGTTGATTTCGAAGGCTTATCGAGAGCCGACCGTTCAGTTATGGGTAACCGAACTGCCAAAAATGCCAATTACTGCTTTTATTATACTACTTTTGCGGTGTAGGCAGGCGGGTGTTTGAGCCTGATAATTTACGGCCGCATGGCTACTGCTGTCGCCACGACTGTGCAGGTGAGGGTTTTATTTTACCCCCGACAAAAAAAAAATCTCTAGCCTTACCGAGGATTCGAACCCGGGTCTCCCGCTTGTGAACCCAGCGTTCTAACTGTTAGGCGAGCCGTTCCTATATGGCTAACCAATAAACGTTAAATTGTCTAGCAAAATCAAAAGAATAGCTGTGGTTGGTGCTGCAACATCCTGTCTACTAACTAATCCAACTAATTTGTCCACTGATATGCCGCGGCACATGATGATGTTTGGTGGAAGAGGCAGAGGAAGTCCTGACAAACAAGCCTGCTACAGTTTGTTTGTTTGTTTGTTTGTTTTAGTATCCAGAAGCCATGAGTTGTTAACCCTTAGGCTCGGTATTATGGATATCGCAACCTTTCGGCCTTGATTCCATTGTAAATACCGTAAATCTGGGAGAAAATGTGGCTTTCCTGCCTACCCCCGGGATTGAACCCGGACAACAAGGAGTTCGTCAATCCGGTTTAGCCAACTACGCTAGAGAGCCTGGCAGCCTGCTACAGAAACTTAAGGAAAGGGAAGCTAACTGGATGGGAGACTAAAACTGCGAGACGTATATACTCCGAAGAAAGATGATGATGGTGATGATGATGATGATGATGACGATGATGATGATGACGATGTTGATGACGATGAATATTACTTATAACAATGTCTTGATCGGTAGATGGAACTCTCCCAAATAGCTCAATGTTGGAGACTAGTCCAGTGGTTTCATTCTGAGGCTCCTATCGGGGTTTCTGCTTGACCTCTCCTTTCAACACATTCCTAATACGTGAAGGCATCAAACATCCCACACTGACACGCCTACTACCTGAACTAAGAACGAATGCCTCCAGGGATCAAGGCCAAATACCGTACTTTATGCAAATACGTTAACTGTTGTACAATTTTCAACGAGACAGACAGAGAGAGAGAGAGAGAGAGAGAGAGAGAGAGAGAGAGAGAGAGAGAGAGAGAGAGAGAGAGACATAAAGACATAGGAAAGAAGACAGAAAAAGAGCTATCAAATGAGAGAAAGAGAGAGGCTACAATATTCTAAAAGAGTGACTCCGATAGACCAAGGGTGCAAGAGGTAATCAGAGAGACAGTTGCTGCAATATTACTTCTTGCTCCTACTACTGCTGCTGCTACTACAACTACTACTACTGCTGCTACTACTACAACTACTACTACTGTTGCTACTATTGCCACTATTACTACTGTTGCTGCTACTATTACCACTATTACTACTGTTGCTGCTACTACTGCTGCTGCTACTATTACTACTATTACTACTGTTGCTGCTACTACAGAAGTAATAATGGCATATACTATAAAGTTTAATTATTTAGTTATGTACCTCTGTGCCTACTTCTACATAAGACATCAATGATCTTCACTTAACTTGACTGGGTTGATGCACGGTATCTAATCAGGGTGAACAATTCCTCAAATAGGATAAAACTAACATATGCACCTTGTATCTCAATAAATTCACATCTTAAAAACATAAAAACACAAAGTAACAACATACAACCACAAAGTGACACAACATCACACAACCCAATAGCATACATCCACACACAAAGTGGCATTACAACACCAAAAACATAACAAATCCAAATACACACGAAGTGGCATTACAACACCACAAACATAACAAATCCACATACACTCAAAGTGGCATTACAACACCACAAACATAACAAATCCACATACACATAAAGTGGCATTACAACACCACAAACATAACAAATCCACATCCACATAAAGTGGCATTACAACAATACAAACATAACAAATCCACATACACATCCCCTATCATAATACTCACTGGGACTGTACGGGCATCCGACGCGAGGTACCCTCGTGTGCTTCTGTGAATCAATGTCCTTATATAGATCCCTGTAGTCGTCGAACGGTGACTTGTGGTTCATCAACGGTGACGACCACAGCTCTTCAGCCATTTTCTCAAAATCCTCAAACATATCGTCTAATCCGTCCATCGCAACGTCCCGATGAGGAGACGCCTCCGTTGTTTGATGTCTTCACGCCACGTGGCGTTTATTTCTCCCCATGCAGCCTCCTTTATCGCCTGCACATTTATCTTTAACAGCCACGTACAAATGAGCCAATTCTAAGAAATGCACAGGGTGCTCGTGGAGAAAATCATCACCCATTGCGATTATTTTACACCAGCGTCAAACAATCAAACACAGCTGGGCTGAAAGATATCTCAGCGATTCAGTCTTGTCTTTAAAGCCTCAAGTCTATAATAACAGAATCACTCACAACGTTCAGCGTAACATACATAAACAGTACCGGACTGGTATTCATTTTAGTGACCCAGTTTTGTATTTAAGCCTCAAGTCTCAAAGAAGGGAATCAAATATTAAGAGACGTCCTGCAAAATTGTGAATAACTCGCAGTCTCGTCTTTAAACATACAAGAACATAATTTCTCCCATTCGTTATTCGGCGCCATATCAACAATCGGAAATTCCCTTCGCAAGTTCATGCAGTCACCACTGGCTCTAGAAGAAAATCGTTCACATAGTTAAGCGTCACAGAATTAAATCAAACGTTAATCCTTGATCGTTCTAACCGGTACCTAGATTCATTTCAACGATTTAAACCCCCACAAAATATATTATGATTTAAATATTAGCGAGGCATGTCAAAACAAATGGAACTGACTGGTTGTAACGATGTACTTCTTTCGAGATACACAAGACTGCGCCAAGCAACGAGACCGTGTCCGGC